CTTGCTCTGGTTTCTGGGGGACTTCTATTCAAACAAATTAATAAAAACATAATTCACTAAAAGGAGCTCAAAGTTTCTGAGAATCATGTATGTACCAACGTGTGCTTGAGGAGAAGTCATGGTTTCTAGCATACCTTTTGTGAGAGCAACTTCATCCTCCTTTTTAGGTTTAGTTACTGTTTTTTTCTCAGGCGGCTCATCCTTCTGTTGCACTTTTTTTAAGACATACATGACATTACCAAACAAATTGAAATACAGTACAAGCATGACAGCACAAACACAATATAAACAAAATCTTAAAGATTTCATTCTGTTCAAAAGACTACCAAGAGTTTTGAAGATGAAAGAAGAGTAAAACAATGGAAAGGAAACATTTCTAATAACATCAACATTTTTAATATCCAAAGATATTGAAATATATACCTTTCTCTGCGTGTATTTCCTTTGGTGCAACTGGCTCTGGCTTGCTAGTTGCTTGCTGTGGCTTTTTAGCTGTCTCTGCCTTTGGTGCTGCAACTGGCCCAGGCTTGCTAGTTGCCAGCTTTTTATCGGCATCTGTCTTTGGCCTCTCCGTTGTTTTAACATCCGTGATAACTTAAGAGAACATTCGTCAGTTGTTTTTTGCTACTTAAATCATCGATGGATGAAGAAGAGAAACTATTATGTGCTAATTACACTCTAACGAGTGCTTCACACATTTACAAAGAGCATGCAATGACAAGAAATAACCACAAAAGGACAACAATTTACAGAAAACATTACACAAGTTCTGACAAACAAACCTACAACATACTGGCAAACCACACATTATTTTTATCAAGAAACAATCAGATTTGTGGATTGCATAAGAAGAGTACATATACCCTTGAGGATATATGACTTTCAAGTACCTTTTGTTGGAGTAGTATCTGTCTTTTTGGGAATATCCTTAGCTGCAGGTGGTGGAATTGCAGATTCTTCATTCTTCGTGAACTCTGGTACTTTTTTGGGAACAACCTTAGCTGCAGGTGGTTGAGGTGTGGGTTCTTCTTTCTTGATGATTCTTTCTGGTACTTTTTAAGAACATTATGATTAAATGGATGTTTCACCCAAATCACAAATTGCCAGCACATATTCTATCGACCTATTGAGTCAGCAATCCAATATTTGGGTTTGTTTAAGCTGTGGCTAAGGAAACAACCCAATCTTGGGATTGCTGACTCTACAGATTCATATATTGCTTGCTAATTATCCATATGATAATTTAAGAATTGTCATTTGGGAGAACAGGAGAATTTGGGACAAGTAAAAAACACAGCTAAAGAGGTTAGCATAAATAAGAAGAGACAGCTTCGTCACAACACTTAGAAGACATTTACAAACAACACAGCTTAAGATGTACAGTATATTGCAAAGAGTGAACATTTTTGCTAAACTAAAAGCTTTACCTTTTTGTGAAATTTCCTCTTGTGGAGGTGATTCTGGCTTTCTAATGGGCTCAGCTTTGGGGTATTCCTCAGGAACTTTAAAGAACATTTGTTTTGTTTTAATGCTCAATAAATACTTCAGAGTGAAGCAAACAAAACAAACAAATGCATACATGTCTCATTTCAAACATGAATAAACACAGGTAGACATAAAGACATGGTGTTTGACTTGGACAAAATAATGCATACATGTCATACAAGGACAAGAGTAGGAAAGAGCAATAAATACAATATACAACAGTACCTTTGGGGTGAGGAGCTTCTGGTATCTTTGTGGGAGTGGGTTTTGGCTTTGGTTGAGCTTCAACCCTAACTGCAGGTGCCACTTCTGTCTCAGGGGCCACTTTGGGCTCAGGAGCCATATGAGGTGTGGGTTTAGGCACATCTTTCAGGTAATACAGAAACACTACCATTAGCAACTATTAAGAATAGACTTATAAAAGATTTAAGACTAAGAGAAAACAAGAATACACAAATGACAGTAAACAGTTCAATAAGAAAGTATCCAATGCTCTCAAGTGAATTACTTCACAGGCATTGATGAGACTAACAGTGAGTATGTTTCACAAACTGTCAAACCACAAACAATGACAAGCCACAGACACATTAAAAAAGATGGAATAAAATCACATAGAAAAGACAACACATTTGAACACGCACAGACAATGAGATGAATACGCTATATGATGTAAAGATGAAGTGTTCTTTACATCAAAAACAGTTTATATAAAGTGTTGGCTGACACAAAAAAAGGTGCAATACCTTTGCTGGGTTCTGGTCGTGAAATGGGCCGCTTTGGTTCAACATAATCTTCTAAAATAAATTAAAAATTTACTAGACTTATCTGATAAGAGTAAACACATTTAAAATGCTAAGAATCAAATCAGCGTACGATTAGCATTAAGAGATCAACAGACAAAGACACAAAGGACAGACAGAGACAAGAGCGAGAGATAGATAAAGTAACACAAACACACAACATTACCTGTAGGGGTGGGATAAGGTTTTTCATGTTCAACCAGTGGAGTGATCTTTTCTTCATGAGGCCTTCTTGCTTCAGGTACTTAAAAACATTGTGATTCTATTTAAGTGTCTCACTTTGTACATACGCTGTACATTGTAGATCCTACATAACTGATGACATCAAACATATTTGACATAAATCAATTATTTTTGATACAAATGAAGAATCATTAAGAATGGTTGACAAACAACATAGAATGAAACAGAAAGGAAAGAATAACCTTAGAAGCACAGGGTCATGTGAATACCTTTGGTCAGAGCTGGGGCTGATGGTCTCTCCTCAGGTTTCTTGTAAGCTTCAGGAACTTCAAAGATAATTCCTTCATTAGAATACTAACTACTGCACAAATACTACTGCCTTATGCGCCAGTAGACACAAAGGGGATATGTTAGTAAGGAGGCTAAAACTATTGCAAAAACACTACTGCCTTACACGCCAATAGACACAAACACGGTCAGTAACTTAGTAAGTACGCTAATACTACTGCAAAGCTTTGTCTGCAGTAATTTGGTATTGCATTAATACTGTATGTGTTAATGAAAGCACTTGACATTTAAATTGATATTTATACAAATAGATATTGCCGCACATTGGCAGACTCACAGACAACAGACAACAGCAGGTACGTACAGTAGATTATGACAGACAAAAGAGTTTGGTTGGACGAACACATATAGGAGTGTTTTTCCTTGACAACATGTAGACCCAAAGGCCATTTGTCAAGAGAAGTTACAAAGAAACATCAATTTTGGCACGTTTACAAGCTTAATTCACAGCCATAAGCGTACTGTCATAAGCTGTCTTATCTGTCAATACCTTTAGGTACTCCTTCTCTTGTTCCCACTTGAGTTTTGGAAACACTTTCATCAATGGGTGTCCTTTCTCCTGATGAAAAACAAGGAATCAACTTAGCTAAGGACATTTAAAAAAGTTAAAATTAACACGTCTAGGAGTGACACAACATATCTTTAAAAAACTGATAATCAAATAGGATTGAAGATGGAACACCATACAACATTTAATGTAAATCAGTAGATTAATGGTGATACTCAGAGATTAATCAATGATCCTGTATTTACAGTACAACAACTGAAGAAACGCAGAAAAGAGGGATAAAATAAAAGTGTTAGTAGAAGACAACTAGGGAACATTTACATGACATACATAAAGTGCACATACACACACACAAACACACACACAACCTTTGAACCGATTACAGTTGACAAACAGAGAGATTTTTTGCCATATGCAGATATTTAGTAATTGTTACTTTATCGACTGAGATGTTATCTCCAACATACTGTTATTATACCTGTGTATGAAGAGAATTGAAGTTCTATCTTTTCTTCTTGCATTTCCGAAATTTCTTGCATTTCTTGCTCAAATTCTAGTTAGTATATGAAATGATAATAGTTAATGGTAATAATACATTGTTGGAATAAGATAATATACACATAAACACATCAATTGACTAGTGACACTAAAAACAATTAAACTACAATGAATAAACAAAAACAATGAAATTAAGAATGAATGAATAAATGATAAGGAAATGATGATGGATTGTTAGATTTTTTGTGATGAGTTTAAGTGCCCAAACAACAGGCCCAACTAAAGGATGATAAGTATTTATTATTAGGAATGAGGTATTTATGAGGGATGAGGTATTTAAGTATGTATTATAAGTCGCATGTGGGATTAAAAGGTATTGTACCTTTAATTTCTGTCCTTTCTTCATAATAGTATTCAGCGGATTCTTCTTTAGGTTAAAAACGGAAGAAATTCTTAATTGTACCATAAAAGATCCCAGTTTAGTTTAAGTAAATGTTCAACTTAATAATTAACATGTGCCAATCTTACCTTTGTATGCTTGTATTGATGAATCTGGGACATCTAAGGGTGTTGTAATAAATAAGTATGAATATAAATTGACAATATACACATGGTTAATGTTTACAGAAGATTAGATTGGGGTGGTTATTTGCTATGCCAGTAAAACCTCACATATCCAACAAAGCCTGTCCAATAATATACCTTACATTTCATGTTAATATTCATGTCATAAAGACACTTAGTATAAAGGGTTTCGGAAAATTACTAAATATTTTGTCACAGTGATTATTTTCTGTTGTTTTCTATTGCCTGACCAACCTATAAACTCTGGTTCTTTAAAAGGTCTTTGGGAATTGTTATCTGAATTTGGCAAGCTGAAAATAATACTCACCAAAAGGAACCCTTCCTAATTCAATTTCTGTGAAAGGAGGAAGTAAAGGTATTATAACACGAGAATAATAATTGATGTATATAAATGCCTATACGCATATCTAGCTAATAAATGTACAGACCTTTGCCTGAAAGGTAAAGTTCAGCTGTGCTTTTAGCTTCAACGTTGGGTTCCAACCGCGCAATCACCGAGTAAACGCCTACAGGATTAGTAATGAAGATTGCTGAGTTTCTCATGATTGTATTTTTATTTGTACGAGTATAAAGTACATTTACTTGACTAAACTCTACACACCTTCATCATCAGAGGTTACATTGCGGATGGTCATAAAGTGTCGTCGGCCTTCACTTCTGAAGTTATACTTTGGGCTCTCTTTAAGTTCCCAAGTGTCTTTGTACCATGTAACGATAGCATTGTCGAAGGACAACTCGCACTCAAAGGTAGCAGATTGGTTCTCATTCACCTCAATGCTCCGGATGCGTTTGGTGAAGTGAATTATGCCAGCTAAAAGCAGATAATGGGAATCAGTCTTAGCATTGGCAGTTGGGGTTTAGTTTAAAACGATGAGTAACATTTGTATCTTAAATGTTACATCCTTTCTTTAAATAATTTATTACAAATGTAATTGTGATTCTTAAGTGGGATCTTAAATATCTAAGTGAATCTATGTTAAATGCAGTAAAACATAAAGAAGTCAAACATAAAGAACAAGAAAAATCTAACAAACAAAGACGTAACAAATACATGTACAATAAGAGCAGCAAAGAGGTTAGTAAGTTATATCCTGGAGGCAAACTGAATGATATCCTAAAACCAAACTATTTGTTCAAACTATGGTCCCTTACCTTGTTGATCTCCATCTGTAAATTAGTATGGGATTAAGAAATATATCAATTCCCAGTATAAACAATAAAGTACATCTCTTTCATGAGGACTAAAAAAACATAAACGAGTACCTACCCCCAACGGTCAATTTGGCGCTGGAGATATGTGGGCCACATACAACACGGTAGTTGCCTTGGTCTTTGGTTTGACACTGCTTGATCTTCAAGATGTGACGGTCACCGACAATGCTGATTTCATATTTGTCGTTGTTGTCAAGCTTCTGAGTTCCCTTGTACCAGGACAGGGTGATCTCAGGGTAGTTGATTTTGATATCACACTCAAAGGTTGCTGTGCTTAATGGAGTGGTATCTTGGTCTTCGATGTCGCTCACCAGAGTAACAGGCTGCAGATAAAAAGTATTTATTATCAGTGCATATTCTGCCGAACCTAACACATTTTAGTGGACGCATTCTATTAATTAATCTATTAGGAACATTTAGTACCTCAGCCTGCATTCTTGATTGCAACTCAGCCATAAACCTGGCCGTATCCTCAGATTCTCCTCCATGCTCAGTTTCCTGGATCAGAAAAATTTAAAGTTATAATAATATATTGTATTCACAATAAATAGTTATTTACAGCAGGGCTCAACATTATGGTAAATCCCCAAAAGCAGAGTAGTTTTTGCTGCTCCTAAGAACAGCTTGTGAAGAAGCCTTGGTGGGCAGCAAGCTATCCTGGATGACTTACTTCCCTGTAGGGTTGAACCCTTCCTGGGCCGGTACCAATGTCGAGCCCTGCTTAGTCCTAGATAGGCCATTTAAATTATTTATTATCTTACCGGTTTTCCACTTTCTGCTTCTTTCTCCCTCTTCAGCTGCTCAATGGCCTGAAGAAGACAACGGTAGTCAGTGATTCCGTATTCTCTAACAACTTTTTCATAGTCTTTGGGGTCCACACCCCTAAGAATCTCCACGAGGTCAATCTCTCCCTCCTTCTTTGGACTCTTCTGTTTGGATGGTGTCCTGTGTGTGAAGAGAGGGATACATATTGTAGTAATAATTTAAAGTGTCTCTCATTAGATGTTAAAGCTATTGGTGGCATTACATATTTATTTACAACAACACATACTTCTTCAGTTTTGCTCTGAAGTCTCCATCTACTCCCCCAGCGTCTTTCCTTTCCTCAACATTCAGGTCAGTGCTGCATTCTATTTCTCCAGCTTTGTTAGATGCGACACATCTGTACTGTCCAGAGTCAGATTTGGTTATTTCTTTGATCTCCAACTTGGCATCTGGGCCTTTCTGCTCAATAATGATACGACCACCATGAGTGATCTGCCTCCACTTGCCCTTCATCCATTTCACATTAGGAATGGGATCACCTCCAACTTTGGCAATGAACGTTGCAGTGCCCTCTGTGAGTCAGAAACAACATCAAGTTGGCATCATGCACAAGCACGGTAAAATATTTTCTAAGGATTTTGAGGTCAATGTTTAGATGTAATTGAGAATAAGTTAATCATACTTACTCTCTGTTACATTGACACTCTGGGGCTCATCTACGAAGAACAAGTTGTCGAACCTCTTTGTTGGAGTCTTTGCTGGGGCTGGGGCTGCAGTAGCAGCGGCCTCAGGTTTGGCTCCTTTTTCTGAAATCAAACAGAATTTCAGTCAAGCAGCTCCCCAGAGGGAAAATCACAATGAAATGTCAAATTGCAGCATTGGTGACAAACTGTACAGTATACAAAATAGGAAAGTCAAGAAAGTACTTTTTCACAATATGACCTTGTTACCTCTAATTGTCACTCTGGACCTTGCAAATTCACTTCCCCCATCGTTGGTAGCCTTGCAGAGATAGTCCCCTGCATCTGTTTTTGATGTGCGGAGGACCTCCAAAGAGGCATTGCCATCAGAAAAAACAACTCTGCAGTTTGTGGAGGATTTTATCTCCTTCCTGTCCTTCAACCAATTAATCTTCAGAGGAGGGGCTCCATTGACATGGCAGCTAAGCTTCAGTTTCTCACCCTCGTTTACAGTCACAGGTTTGAGAGGGATGTCGAATACAGGGCCCTTCTTGTGTTCTGGTGAAGTTTAGTGAACAACAAAGATTTATTTTATAGAAGCATGCACAAGAATGTTGACTAGTGATGCAACAGAATGCATACAAATATAATATGGCAATACACACAAAGATACACACCTGAAATGTTAAGTGACACTTGGTAAGAGGCACTGCCAGCTTCATTGGTGGCTGTGCAGGTATAAACGCCACTGTCTGAGAGTTGGGAGCTCTTGATATACAGCATGGCCACGTTGCTCTTGAATTCCATTTCGTACTTATCAGAGGCGTGAATTTCACTGTGATTCTTGGACCAAATGATGTCCATGGGTTGAGATCCAGATAAACAACCCTCAATCTTCACCAACTGACCCTCTGCATCTTCCCTTGTCTCTGCGGGCTTCTTGGTGAAGTTGGGGGAGATTTTGCGCTCTAGTGACATAATAAATTGTACAACATCAATAGGTTGAATTATGACAATTATGTCCTTGAATCAAAATATAGAGCACACTATAGCAAGATGTAGAGAAACAATATTATTTGTAAGAATTTTGGAATATTTTTTTCTGGAACCGTACAGAAATAACAGAAAATACAAAGATATTGCAAGGTAATGGTAACCATATGTACAACAGATTACACACATTTGTAATGGTAACCATACAGCCTACTAGTGTTTACTGTACCTTACACAACTAGTAATCATAATACTTTACCTGAAACATGTATAAGAAATACATGTAAGAAGATTCTTTAAGGATTTTTACCTATTTTCACTTGACAATGACAGATATCAGTTCCGGCTTCATTGGTAACTTCGCAAGAGTATTTCCCAGCTGCCTCAAAACTGTCACTGTTAAGCACATCCAACATACAGTAGGTGTCTGTGGTTTTCACAGTATACTGATAAGAGGCATAGAGCTGTTTCCCATCCTTCAGCCAGGTGACAAATATTCTGGGCGTTCCAGAGTATGTGCATTCAAGTTTCAAAGGTTTGCCCTTGACAACTGAAATGTCTGCCAGCTTCTTGATGAAGTGTACTGGTTCTGAGAGGAGCAATAGTGAAATTAAGTTACATCACTGTTATTAGGATGGTTCGTGCATGAAAAAAAGACTATTTCAACACAAACACAGTACTAGTACTTGCTGTGGCTTATCGAAGCCATACTTTTAACGATGAAAGACTTTAACAAGAACAGGAAATCTGTAAAAAATCTACCAACCTTGAACTTGAAGTGTGAGCTTAGCTTTACAAGATGCAGTTCCAACACTATTTGTAGCTATACAAGTGTATTCCCCAGAGTGTTTAATTTCACCTCGTGCAATTTTTAGGGCAGCAGTGTTATCATCATAAGACATTAAGTATTCTCCATCATTTTTTAAAGATCCATTGTCTTTTAGCCAGGAAACCTCCAAAGGAGAGGATCCTACAACACAACACTCAAATATGACTGGCTTTCCTACAGCCTGTTCAAGACTAGTAAGTTTCTTGGGGAAGGAAGGTGGTGTTTTGACATCTAGAATGGAGCAATTAAACAGAAGGCATGTTTACATTTGTTACTATGCGTAACATTTGTGAAGATAAAAATGAAGCAAGCAAAGAAAACTAAGACGAGCATCACCTTTCACTGATAAGCGGCAGCTGTTGGAGGCAGATCCAATTCTGTTCTCAGCTTTGCATGTGTATTCACCAGTATCAACCTTTGACGGTTTGCTTAGTATCAAAGTCGCAATGCCATTTGAGAATGCCATTTGGTAAGTATTGGTAGCACGAAGCTTTCCGTCAGCTTTGAACCAGGACACGCTAATATCAGGGGTTCCTCCAATGCGGCATTTCAAGCAAACTGGATCACCAGAAGTGACTTCCATTGGTTCCAATTCCTCAACAAAGAATGGTCGTTCTAAAGTGACAGATAAAAATTGTTAAATAAAAAAATTATCAAATTGATATGATTGAATGCATATGATTGAATTGAGATGCTTTTACCTAATAAGGTCACTTGAGCATGGCAGATATCAGTTCCGACTCCATTGGTAACTTCGCAAGAGTATTTCCCACTTGCCGTCATGCTATCACTATTGAGTACTTCCAAGATGCAGGAAGTCTCTGTGGTCAACACGTTATACTGATAAGAGGCATAGAGCTGTTTCCCATCCTTCAGCCAAGTAACAAATATTTTGGGAGTTCCATTGTATGTGCATTCAAGTTTCAAAGGTTTCCCCTTTTCAGAAGACATGTCCTTCAGCTTCTTCACAAACTGTACTGGTTCTGGGAGGAGCAATATTCAAATCAGTAACGTCGCTGTAGTTTCGGTATGTTAGCATATGCATGAAAAAAAATACATAATTGTAGAATTCCTTGCCATGCTAACTAACCTTTCACGAACAGATTAACTGGGCAACTTTCCTTCCCAGCATCATTAATAATCTGGCATGTATACTCTCCAGCATCTGATTTGGTGACTTTGTATAGCTCCAAAGTAGCTGTATAGCCCCGGAGAGCAATTTCACAGCCCTGTCCAGACACAATTTCCCTGGTGCCCATGAACCATTTAAGTTTCAGTGGGGCACTTCCCTGGACTGTTGCTGAAAATGTTACATTTGCGCCAGGCAGAGCTTCCTTTGCCTGAGGTTTTTCCACAAAGGATGGAGGTTCTAAATAAGAAAAAATAAATGTTGTACAGCGTAAGTATTTTCTTTCGGAAACACATCACCTCTCATGCTGGATTTCTTTTTCTCCATAGGATAAAAATCCATGCTGACAAGTCTACATATCTACTGACCTTGTACAATCATAGAAGCACTTGTTTCACTGGCTCCTGCACTGTTAATGGCTTTGCATGTGTATATTCCAGAGTCTGACAACTTAAGAGTTGACACTTTAACTTTGCAGGTGTTGTCACTGCAAGTTATCTCATGATTTGGTCCACTCTTGATCTCCTGACCAATGTGGTGCCAAGAGATAGTGAAAGGTGGAGAACCTGCAACTTTGCATTCCATTTCACCAGGTTTACCAACAATAGTATGGGTGTCTCTCAGTTTCCTGATGAATGTGGGTGGAATCCTCTTATCTGTTTAAGAAAGAATAAGTAATGACGGATCGTAAATGTAATAAAATGGCAATGGAGTGTAAATATCAAATTGAATTAATCGGAAGGTATGATACTAGTGGCACCAACCTAGGACAGTGAGGGTTGTCTTGCAGGAAACACTGCCAACCTCATTTTTGACCTCAAATTTGTATTCTCCGGTATCAACTCTCTCTGTCGACATGACTTTCAGGCTGGAGATATTTTTTGAGAAGGTTATCTTATGCTTGGTGCCAGAGGAGAGCTCGACACCATCCTTGAACCATTTAGATTTCAGTTCTGGTGTTCCGGCTACAGTGACTTCAAGAGTTGCTGAATCACCAGCCTTGACATTGAATGACTCTGGGCTATCCACAATGGTAGCCGGTTCTGAAAATTAAGTAGGACCATAATTCATATTTAGAAAGCAGAAACTTACCAAATGTATGTCAATGTAATCTTCATTGAGGGGGGAAATAGAGTCCTACGAACCTAAGACAGTGAGGTTGGAAACACATTCCACAACTCCAGAATCATTTTTGAGTTGGCAGGTATATTTGCCACCTGTGGTTTGGTCAGCCTTAAAGACCTTCAGGGTGACCACGCTGTTCTCGAAGGTGATTTTCCGGTTGTCTCCATCCCTAAGAACATGATCCTTATCTTGCACCCAAGAAACAGTTATAGGCTGAGAGCCTTTGGCAGTGGCCGTCAGGGTGACTTCTTCACCCAATTTGACTGACTGGTTCACCAGTTTCTTCACAAAAACGGGTGCTTCTGAATAGTGAGAAAGGATTGATTGTGGTGAGGAGAAGCAATCATACAGGTAATGTTGTATGTATGAATATAACTAAAATATGTTGAATATCCATTGAGGGTATAGTTTTACTGACCTCTGAGTGTAACTGTTGTATGGCATGTTTCAGATCCTACTTTGTTTGTGACCCTGCACTCATATTCGCCAACATCTGAGGGGTCCACTGCAAGAATATGGAGAGTGGCAGAGCAACTCTCATTCACCATCTTATATTTCCTGCTTTCCTTAAGTGGCTTGTTGTCTTTGTACCAGATTATCTTAAAGGGTTCTGTGCCATACAGTTCACAGTATAGCAAAGCATCTTTTCCTTTGATCCCCTCTACAGGTTTCGGTACTTTCATGAAGCTTGGTGGATCTAAAAAACAACACAATTGGCCGATCAGTTTCGTTAAAGTAAGAGATTCCAGGGCAAGCAGGTTGCAAGATTCCAGAGCAAACAAGTTGCATCTACGCAAGCATGTGGACATTGGTAATCATAGAGAAAAGAGGGCTTCAAAGGATCATGCTTTTTAGTCCATGCTAGCAGATGTCCAAACTGTGCAATGGTATAATCCAAGTAGTGACCATTAAACACAATCAATGGAATTTTAAAAAGGTGGAAAAGTCAAGAAATAATTATACATGCTGCAACTATTTTAAAGGAAAACCTGACATCATAACACAGACTGAATAAACTACAAAAGGCAATGTCAAAAATAAGTCACTCTGTCAGTGAAAAGGAGGAGGAATCATACGTTCGGGTTCATGCTATAGAGAACGAATGAACTGCAAAAGGCAATGTCCCTTTTCAGTGGCTGACCTTGCACTGTGATGATGGTGCTGCAGCTTACAGCCCCAGCATCATTTTGTGCCTCACAGGTGTAGACTCCATCATCAGCATTTCTTGTGGAGCGCAGCTCAAGGACTGCCATTGAGTCAACAAAGGATGTTCTATAGTTGTCACCATCTGTTATCTTATTGTCATTTTTGTACCACTGCATTCGCAGAGAGGGTGCACTTGTAACTTTGCATTCAAGACGGAGTGGCTCGCACTGCTTCACGAATGTTGTGTGTGGCAATTTCAGTACAAATTCAGGAGGTTCTGCAAAGCCCAAGAATATGAAGTTAGAATTCTGAGAACTTCAAGGGTTGAAAAATGATCAGCAACAAAGAATGGGATGATGATGGGAGGCAGCCAATGGGTCACTAGATGGGAGAATACATTTGTTATATTACATAGATAGACAACCCTGGAAAAAATATATAAGCATGGGTTATAGGTGATGAAGGCAGATGAAGGAGCGATGAAAATGAAAAAAAGAGATGGAATTAAATGAATGAAGGGTGGCAAAAAAAAAGAGTATAATCCAACCTTTCACCAATAAATTGGTTGTACACTTCACAGCGCCAGCATCATTGCTAACTTGGCAAGAGTACGTTCCACTTTGCAAAAATCCAACTGAGTAAAGATCTAAGGAGCAAGATAAGCCTTCCAGTCCAACTGAACATGATGGTCCAGTTATCAGTTCAGTGTCATCCTTGAACCAGTTGACTGTAAAAGGAGGTGTTCCTTGAAAGGCACCCTGGAAGTGTACATTGGCTTTGGGAATGACATCCTGGGACTCAGGTTCAGATACGAAGCTTGGTGGCACTAAAACCCATTTGAAGAAAGATGAAATGAGACATGAGTTCATCAACTGGTGCCTAGAGAAATGTAAGAGTAAGATTTAGGAGTAAATCTAAAAACTAAAAGTATGACTCTGACCTTTTGCTTTTAATGAACCACTGCAGTCACTACTTCCAGCTTTGTTTGTGATTTTACACAAGTACTCTCCTGTATCCTCTTCCTCAAAATTCTTAATTTCCAAAGACACAGTGTTGTCTTTGTGCTCTAACTGATACTTGGTTTTACTTGCAAGGACACTGCCATCTTTGGTCCATTGCACTGATATTGGCAAAGAACCAGCAACTTTGCATTCCATATAAACCAAAGAGCCCAAAACCTCCTGAATCTCCATTAATTTCTTGATGAAAGTAGGAGCAATGACTTGTTCTGTTTCAAAACAACAACAACAATCAATTAGCAATGGAGAGTAAAATCGACTTTTGTAGTGTTTTTATAACTGAGAAATTCAAAATAATTTCTCACTGACCTACGACAATCAATTTAACCTTGCAGCTGCAGGTATCAACAGAGTTTGTAGCCTCAAACAGGTAATCCCCTGCATCTTCCAGTTGTGTAGACTGAATCTTCAAACTACTGAGGTTATTCTCAAAGTTAAGTTTATTTTGCCTGCTGGGTATGAGTTCTGTTCCATCTTTTGTCCACTTTACTTTGATCTCAGGGGTGCCAGAGACCTTGCACTCCAAACTGACTGGATCACCTAGAGTGACATTTATCACTTCTGGTTTTTCTATAATCTTAGGTGGTTCTAAAATACAAACAAGCAGACATCAGGATTAGCTACAAACGTAACGATCAACTTCAAAATGTTAAACTTGATCATAATTTAAATCAAGCAAAGACACACCTTGCACCATCAGGGTTGCAAAGCACTTGTCCTGTCCAGCGTCATTTGCAACCTGGCAGGTATATTTTCCGCTGTGACAGGCTTCACAGATCGGAATCCTTAGAGTTGCCACATTATTCTCAAAGATCCTTTCAGTTTTAGGATCTTCCATGATCCAGTTCTCATCTTTTTTCCATTGTACAGACAGAAATGGCGACCCCATCACAACACACTGAAATGTAGCGACACTCCCCAAAACAGAGGAAGCATTTTCCATCTTCTTTACAAAAGACGGTCGAGCTAATGTGAGGAAAACATTTCATCAGAATAATAAATTGAAAATGCAGACATTTTCAATGTGAAAATTGACTTAGAGAAATAATGATCATCATAAGTGACTAACCTTTCATAGACATTGTGGTGCTACATGAACAGCTTCCCACCTCATTTGCAACTGTGCACTGATAACCACCAACATCTAAAGCATCACATTCCTGTATTTTCAGGCTCATGACTTTACCACATTCATAAATTGCATGCTTCTTATTGGTTTTGATCTGCTTTTTATCTTTGTGCCATGTAACCTCAAACGGACCAGTTCCTGCCACTTGGCATTCAAAGACAGTCACAGAACCCTTCACGACTTCAACAGGCGTTAACTCTCCAATAAATGCTGGTGGCTCTGAAATAAGGAAGCAGGTTTAAATGAGTTGGGGGATTGTGTCAATAAACATCTGAGCAAAATGTTTAATTACTGGCTCAAAAGACTAGAAGTAGGCTAAACCAACCTTTCACGGCTAACTCCATGCTGCAGCTCTCACTGCCTGCCTCATTGCAGGCCTCACAGAAGTATACTCCACTGTCTCTGGCATCAGCACCAATTATCTCTAAGCTCGCCACAGACTTAACAAAGAACATTTTGTATTTGTCACTACGACTTATCTCATTCCCATCTCTGAACCAGTGCATTTGAATTTCTGGAGTGCCACCAATATGGCACTCAAAGTGTTTATTTTCTCCAAGTTTCACAACTGATAATTTGTCAGGTTTTTCAAGGAAACTGGGAGGTTCTGCAAAAAAGATTAACTATTCGTAAATATACAGTATATTAACATCAATAGAAATTCCCAAATATATTGACTAAGGTAAGTTGAAGATCAATGCCAACCTTTGACAAAGAGCGTTGCCTGGCAAACATCAGAGCCAACGTCATTATGTATTTCACAGACATAGTTTCCACAGTCTGACGTTTTGGCAAAGAAGAGCTCCAGGGAAGTAGAGTTGTAATCCTTAATCACAGAGCAATCCGAGCCTGATAAGATCTCCTTCTTGTCTTTAAACCATTTAATGGTCAAGGGTGGCGTGCCAGACAAAAGGACATTAAACTGAACCTTTGATCCAGGCAAAACATCCAGTGATTCAGGTTTTTCTAGAATAGATGGCGGTTCTGTTGATGAAAGGGGAAGATGTGCATTGTTAAAGTTGCTCTCACTTTCCAATATACTGGATATACACTGTATCTAACATCAAAAGACAATCCAAAGCTAACAAACCTTTCACGAGCAAGGCACCAGAACACTGGTCTTTGCCTGCCTTATTACTAGCAATGCAGGTATAGCCGCCACTATCAGCACTATCAAGACGACTAATTTCTAGAAATGCCGAGTTCTCAAAGAATGTGAATTTGTGCTTCTCATCGGTCTTGATCTCCTTCTCATCTTTGTACCAGAGTACAGATATAGGCAGGGATCCAGACACAAGACACTCCAAGTGGGCAAAAGATCCTTTGATACTCTCCATTTTCTCCAGTCTTCTTGTGAAAGATGGTTTAATCGTTTGATCTATTATAAAAGTAAATAGTATATGGTGAGTACACTGTAAGACGGCGGGGTATACATCAATTTAAGATTGATTCAAATAAAAATGATCCACTGATCAACAAACCTAGAACAGTGATTGAAGCCTCACAGGTGCTGCTTCCAACATCATTTGAAACCTCAAAGGTGTATTCACCACTATCACTTTTCTCTGTAGAGAGTATCTTCAGTACAGAGCTCTTATCTCTGCTCTGTACTTTGTATCTTTGACCTGATGTCAGCTCTCTTCCACCCTTCAGCCATGTAGCTTTGAGGACTTTAGATCCTGAGAACCTGCATTCAAGAGTAGCTGGATCTCCTGTTGTTACACTGATAGACTTGGCTTGCTCAGTAATATTTGCAGGTTCTGTGATAAACAAAATATTAAATGAACAATCCACTATTCAATAGTACAACACTGTGATAAAAATAAAATATAAATTGCAATAGTAAAAGACCTAAACATCCAACCAACCTTTTACTGTAAGCGTGGCAAGACATTTCTGACTTCCAGCCTCATTCTGTGCCTGACAAATATATTTTCCACCATGTTTCATCTGAGTGTTTCTTAAAGTTAACACTGCTGTTCTGGTCTCATAAGATATCTTTATATGTCCGTCTTCTTTAACTTCATGATCCTCCTTTATCCACAATACAGTCATGGGCAGTGATCCCTTTAAAGTGCACTGCATAGAAATCTCTGAGCCAACTAAAGAACTGATGTTCTCTATTTTCTGTACAAACGAGGGTGGTTCTATTGAAGGAAGACCATATATGTCAATATATATTTCAATAATAACAACAGGCCACAGTCTATCAAATACAGATAGCTACAGTATATTCCTATAAATGTTGACTTTTAACCAACCTTTTAATGTAATTTGGCAATCACATGTTGTCTTCCCAACTTCATTTGCTACGTTACATTGGTATTTTCCAGCATCCCCAGATTCACATTTAAGAATCTGAAGAGTGACTACGTCATCTTGTATATTTATCTTATGCCTTTTGTCATTTCTGATCTGCTTGGCATCTTGATAACAAGATATTTCAAACGGAGCTGAGCCTGAAATAACTCCTTCGAACACAACATCAGACCCTTTCGCAACTTCTTTGGACTCAAAAGCTGTCACAAACATGGGAGGTTCTACAACAAAGATAAAATAATGTTATTATTCTACACAGACAATAACATAGTACAGATCAACTGTAAAAGTGAATACTGAACACACCTTTAACTGTAACTGTGCTGCTGCAGCGGTCACTACCAGCATCACTTGATGCTACACAAACATAATCTCCACTATCATCAACAGAGCAGTTGACAATCTCCAGTGAGGCAACTGAGTCAGTGAAGGACAGTCTGCATTTATCATTTGAAGCGATTTCAGTCTCATTCTTATGCCACCTAACATTGATCACAGGACTGCCAGTGACTTTGCACGTCAACATAAGTGGTTGTCCATTTTTCACCAGTTTTGATGGCTCAAGCCTCATTGAAAATGTAGGTGGTTCTGGAAATAATTGATGATAACAATTACTTCAAAAGACAGTAACATCAAGAAAAGCAGTACAAAAAATATACATAATTGATCAAAGAAAAGGCACCTTTCACAAACAAGACTGCAGAGCATGCCACCTTCCCGGCATCATTGGCCACTTGGCAAGTATAGTTAGCCGAGTCACTGGGTTTCACTGAGTGAAGTTCCAAGAAACTTGATGAAGCGTCTTTCTTGATAAAAGTTGTGCCTCTAGTGGTTATCTCCTTGTCCTCTCTGAACCACTTAACAGTAAGAGGAGCTGTTCCAGTGAAAGCAGACTTCAAGACATAAGTAGATCCTGGTACGACATCTTGGTTGTCAGGTTTTAATGTGAAGATTGGAGGTTCTAAATTCAGTTTGGAAGAGACAAAATATTAATGTATTCGTTCAGCTTCATTACGGCCAAAATAATGTAACACTATTATACTACTATTACGCTATGTTACTATAGTAAGTATAGTTATTCTAACCTTTAACACATAAGGTTCCACTGCTCTCTTTAAATCCAGCAGAATTTGTTGCCCGACATGTGTATACTCCCTCATCACACTTTTCTATTTGGGTTATTCCCAATGTAGCCGTGGTTTCTTTCATTTCAAGTTGATATTTCTGTCCAGCTGTTATTTCTTTATCGTATTTGTACCAAGAGATGGACATGGGCTGAGATCCAGATACTTTGCTCTCCATAGTAATGTCGTTACCAATATTTCCATCAACTTTCTTAAGATTTTTTGTGAAAGATGGTGGAAGAACACGATCTGTTGAGGGGAATATAACTTTTTAAATTATAACATTCTTGTGGTTTCTCAAGTCGTAATTATGAAAAAAAGCATAAACTACAAAACAAACCTAGCACTGTGACTGAACAAGAACACTGATCTTTTCCGACACTGTTGGACACTTCCATTGTGTATTCACATGTGCCTCCTTTCTCTGCCGCAACAATCTTTAAGATGGCTACGTTGTCTTTAAGGGTGATTTTATATTTTCGACCTCCTGTAATCTCCTTTCCATCTTGGAGCCATTTCACTTTAAGATCCGGGCTTCCTGCAATTGTGCATTCCAAGGTTGCTGATTCCCCTGAAGTCACGTTGATGGATGCAGCTTTCTCTAAGATTCTAGCGGGTTCTAAAATGTAATTATACAAAGATATTTAGAATTGAAACATCAACATTGGCCCAAAATAATATACTTGTGTGAAATATTCTAAATCTAACCTTGAACTCCTAAAGAGGCTTCACATTTTTGTTGACCAGCCTCATTCTCTGCTTGGCAAGTGTACTTTCCACCATGGCAAATGTCAACAGCTGCTATTGTCAAAATGGCGATATTATTCTGAAATGCCATGGTGATATTAGGGTCATCATCCCTAAGCCATTCAGAATCCTTCATCCACTTGACGGTAATAGGGGCAGATCCTTTTATAGTACCCTTCAGTTTAACAGCATTGCCCAAAACTGCTGTAGTGTTCTCAATCTTCTTTGCGAATGATGGTGGTTCTAAAAAATTACAATTATAGCAATAATAGTAATTATAATTTAGAGAAATACATAAGTAAGAGGAATAAGAAGAATAAGAATATCCTCCATTAATGTGTTTTATTTTAACTAACCTTTCTGTTTGGCAATTGTCTTTGCAGTGATTGAACCAACATCATTTGATACAACACATTGATATTCCCCAACATCTGCACTTTCAAATGAGCAGATCTCCAAAGAAGCAATGGAGTCCTGAGAAACAATCTTGTATTTCCTATCGGAAGTGAGTGGTTTCTTACTCCTAAACCAATTGAATTCAAATGGGGCAGTGCCTGCAACTTCACATTGGAAGAGGGCAACAGTGCCCCTCACAGCTTCAACCATTTGCAATTCCTTTTTGAAGGATGGTGGTTCTGAGAAGAGATATTTGATACAATTTCACAATAATATAATATTCAGAAGACAATATAAAAGATCGTAACTATTCTATGTAACTGACACAACAAACCTTTTATAGTTAACTTGGTGCTACAGCTCTCACAGCCAGCTTCATTCAGCACTTCACATGTGTAATTTCCACTGTCTAACAAAGCAATGTCACTGATCTCCAAAGTAGCAAAACCGTCCTTGAAAGTGATTTTGTATTTCTCGCCAGCCGAGAGCTCTTTTTCACTCAGAAACCAGGTGACATGGAGTTCAGGTGACCCTTTGATTTTGCACTGCAAACGTGCAGTTATGCCTTGCTTCCAGACCAAGTTGGGTTCCAGTCTCTTTACAAAGACTGGGGGTTCTGCAGGATGTATGCATTGAACAATTGAACAATTCAAAACAATGTTTTAAGTCATTGCTAATTAACAAAACTCAGAAAAAGAGGAGGAAATACAAGTTAAAAGTATAAGATTTTGTCAAAAGGCAGTTGAAGATGCAGCCAAAAGATACAGCTGGGTGAAGGTATAGCTAAATCTACAAATCTATCTGATCACAATCCAAAGATGTTAATTTCCAGATGTGCATATTTCTTGTGCCACAAATACTGCAGAAAGCTTGAAAATTAACTGCTTAGCCTTACCTTGAACCTTTACTGAAGTGGAGCAACTTGTGCTTCCAGCATCATTGGCAGCTGTACAGACATAGTTTCCAGTGTCTTTAAGGTTTCCTTTTGGAATATCAAGAGTGACCATCTTATCTTCAAAAGACTGTTTACAATCCATTGTTTGATGGAGCTTTTTGCCATCTTTTATCCAGGTGATGGACACTCCGGTATCCTCATCCAACTGACACTCAAGGTGCAGTGGATTTCCAACAGCGACTGACACTGATTCAAGTGTTGTCACAAAAGAGGGTTTGTTGATAACCTTCATCTCTGTGCTGCACACAGCAGTTCCAACACTGTTGAATGCTTTACACAGGTAAACACCCTGATCAGTAAGTTCAAGTTTTGATATTTCAAGAATATATTTATTCTTTTCTGAAGAGATTTTGTAGTTTCCCCCCGAAGAAATGGCATTGTTGTCTTTATGCCAGACAATAGTCATCGGTGAAGATCCAGTGACTACACACTGAATGTTTGCCTTTTTCCCAACATACAATGTCAATGGATCAGGCTTAGTAATAAAGGCAGGTGGGAAAAGTTCTATGAAATGTGAAAATAAGAAACATAAAAAAATACATGATAAAACATCATAATTAACAGCATATTAAGATTTATTTCTAAACCTGACAAAATCCTATAACCTGACAAATCACAAGGGAGATCATTTATTTTAACTTTTTGAGCGAGTATTGATGACCATAACTAGATTTATGGAGGGAAGAAGCACATCATATTCCTAAAACCATGACCTTTGGTACGGCAACCTGTTCAAATATATTAAACAAAACGTTCAGTTCACTCACCAGTTACGTTGAGTTTGGCGGCACAGGTGTCACTGCCGTTCTGGTTTGTAGCCTTGCAGGTATATTCACCACTGTCAGCTTTGGTTGGGCTCAGAAGCTCCAATGAAGATACCAGTTGCCGACTGATGATCCTGCAACTTGGACTCTCTTTGATAGGAGTGCCAGACTTGAACCACTTGAACTGCACATTTGGTGCATCTTCAATCTCACATTCGAACTTGGCCTGGCTGCCAATATTGATCTCCACAGGCTGGATTTTGTGCCTGAAAACCGGTGGCACTATAATGTGCAGGGAAAGGGAAGAAAATAGTACAATTAACACACTGGCTATAATTCTAGTTGATGTAGTTAAAACTGGTGAAATGGTGAACCTAGGATGGAAGGTTGCAAACAGGACTGACCAGGAGTGACTGTGGAGGGAAATGATGTTAGATTTGGATCAAAACACTTTAATGAAGAAAATGAGACCAAGATGAAATGTCCAAGAAAGCATGCAGAAAGAGGGTTTCAGGACTCAATGGGGAAGACGAGAGTGATGTGGAGTCAAAGAGGATGACGGGGAATGGACCAGAGGTGGGTTTTTAAGAGAGTGATATGGGTAAAAAGAAGATACATTGGAACAAGAAAGCAGGAGGATATGAGGGTGGTATCAACGGAAATCGTACTGTAAATTCATGGTGATTTTAAAGTAAAGTGAATACATGCTAGGAATCACCAATGGAAGTGTATGTTGCGTTAGTTACTATTTTTATGAAAATATGAAAATATCCCTATTTTCCAACCTCTCGAGACAACAGTGAGTCTTGATGTTGTTGTAGCCTTGCCAGCTTCATTCTCAGCCTCACAGACATATTCTCCTTCGTGCTTCTCCTTGACGATCTTGTCGATTACTAGTGTGTATGTGTCATGGTCTTTCGAACACTTAAAGTCTTTGCCAGATTTTACCAACTTTCCATTGAAAAGCCAGTTAACTTTTGTGACATACATTATGGTCACACTAAAAGTAACCATACTATTCTTCTCTGAACAAATATCCTCCAGGGGAGTTACAATAATGGGATAAGCTTTAGTGAATTGCTCAGGAAGTTTACTAATCATAACTGCCTCTGACAGAAACTCCTCGACAGGGACAGGGGTGAAGGGTCCTGCTGTGGTTAAATCTGCAGCACCTACATCTCTCTCATCATGGCTTTTTACTGTCACAGAACTGGTCTCCTGCCTAGTAGTCTGCCTGGATTCATGCACCACAGTGCGATCCTGACCTGTTATGCTTTGGAACGAAGCCTTCTCTTCAGTCTTCTGGGCAGCAGACTGGGCTACAGAGGATGCGAAACCCACTGCACTCTCTGTTACTCTGACAGTTTCCACCACCGATGACAGCATTTCTTTGGATTTTGCACTGCTAATGTTTGTTTTCTGAGGCTTGACTATTTGCATTGTGCCAGGTTGGTCTAACATGAGGGTATGTTGCTCTCTATAAACTATAGCATGGAAAGCTGCTTGGAGTTCTGTCCTCAGATCAGCAGTCTGAGGGTATTCTCCTTCAAAAGCAATTGTTATTTCCATGGGGGCACCTGGTGTTGTGATAAGGTAGGTAAACATTGCACCCTTAGTTTCCCTACCTACCTTCACTTCCTGTACCTCGACAGCCTCCAATCTCTCAACAACGTCTGCTAGTATAAGTGGCTGGTCACGAGCCACAGCTGACTGAAGCGCAGTTTTCAACTGATGTCTGATGCCCAGACTTGTTGGTTTTGGCATTGGGATCACAAAGGTAAGTTCCTTTGGAAGAACATGGCTCTCCTGAGACTCGTGCACAAATAATACCCCTTTAGGCTGAGTCTTTACACTAACAACCAATCCCGCAGATTTTCCAATTTCACTTGATTGCTCACCAACAATTATGTGTTTCTCCTCCAATAATATTGATTGTCTCACTGACTGACCTTCGTGGATCTGAACAGCAAAATCCTGTTCAGCTGCATCTAAAATGGCACAACCTTCAGTCGCTATTGCCTTCTCTTCAATATAGACAGGCTTTGTCGGGATCTTGGGTTCAATTTTCACTACAGGTTTGAATGCATCATTTGCTTTCAAACTTATGGTATGCCCCTCTTCTAAACTGTGAGTGTCAACCACAGTTACTGATTGCATAATGTTCCAGCGATCCTCCTTTTGAATGAAAGCACGCTGCTGTTTGACATCACTAGTAAATGGTGTTTCTTTGGATATCTGCATGGGCATTGATGTGACCTGAAGGATGTTCTGAGGTCTGGGTTCTGTTCTAAGCTCTGACTGAACTCCTGTCACGGACACATCAAGGTCTTTGGAATAATCTGTGCTAAGCTCCCTTTTTTCCTCTGAGGTTGCTGCATGTTTGCGGGCTCTTTCCTGTTTCTGTAGTGCAGTCTGCTGATCTGGCTTCTCAGGGCTAAGTATACCTTCTTTAGGTAACACGCTTTCTGACTGAATAGACAGAAGATGTAAAGGAGCTTTGGCCTCTTTTCTTGGTTCAATTGAAATTGTGTCCAGCTGAGCTGAAAACTCAGATATCTTTTCACAAGTGACAGATTTCCATTCATCGTAGGTGACCGTGTGCAACAAAGTAGGGCTTTTTCTTGCATCTGCACTCTCTGGCAATGGCTTCTCGCAAGTAAATCTACCTTCAGACTGCAATATATCTTGCTTACTAATCATCTGTAGATGTAAGAGCTGTTCCTCTTCTTTTTGAAATTGCAAAGACATAGCGTTTTCCAAACCTGGAATCGCTTTTGAGTGTTCAGCTTGGAGCAGGTGTTTTTCTTCAGCGCTCATGGCTGATGTAAATAACCTATCTTTACTTACCAATGCGCTCTCTTTTTCAGGTTTGTGTATTTCAAATCTCTGCTCTTTGGATAAAGTAAGTTTAGTCTCACTGACCGGTGCAACCACTGGCTTAGGACGTTCCTTCTCTAGCAGGGACTGAGTGGGTTTATCCGATGTTGATAGCGTATCACAATGGCGCTCTGATAGTGGCAGTTGCCCAGTCGATGTAGCGGTATATAAAATCTTAACACCCTCTGTAACTCTGAAGCTTCTCTCCTCCTCAGGCCTAGTGGTAGTGCCTAATTTCTCTTTCAGAATTGGTAACCTGGTTTCAACTAGATGACTACTGATGACCTGTTTTGGTTCCGTAGATGACTTGATCTGTTCTGGTTTTCTGTCTCCTAAAACCTCAGCTCTCACTGTGCTTAGAGGAATAACCTCTTCTGACGTGGCAGACATTACGTTTGAATGATGTTCCCTTGCAGGCTCAAGCTCTAAGATTTCCGGGCTTTGGATACGGTCAGAATGTTGCTCTATGAGCTTTTGGCTCTCTTGGACAGCAGTTGTAAAAGCGGCCATATGCAGTTGTTTAATAGGCGCAGCTGAGGCTGGAGGTGGTCTGTTGGGAGTCACAGACACTCTCTCTTCTACCTCATGTGACTGCAGCACTGCAGCCTGGTGGGTGACTCGCTCTCTATGAAGGGTAGCAGCAGAGATATCCAACTCTCTAAGTGTGTCCACTTGCTCGCTGGAAACAAACTGTCTGTCCTCGGTACCTATGGTGTACACCATCTGATCTCTGGCCCTGGCTTCTCCAGGAAGGTTGACCATGTACAAGCGTGACTCTGTAGCCTGTTCAGTCATGGATACTTTATAACCTTTTTGTTTCTGAACAACCACATGTTGTTCCTGTTGCTGAGATACAGAGACAGACTCTCTGAACACGATTAGCTCAGCACTACAAGAGGCCTCCCCAGATGGGTTGGAAGCTCTACAAGTGTAGTGGCCACTGTCCTCCTTTTGGATGCCCTTCATGTTGATGAAGCCAGAGCCATCTGGGTTGTTCACCACAATACAATACTTACTGGGCTGAATTTGATAACTGCCTTTAAGCCACTGAACCTCTGGAAGGGGATTCCCAGTGACAATATACTTAAAGAGAGCTTGACCCCCTTCAGAGCATTGTACAGGCTCAATAGTTTTAATAAATTCAGGTGGTTGGCCAGAGGGTTTGAAAATTTTCTCAACCTGCCTCTCTGGTTTCTTTGTGTCACTTACTTGAATGTTCAGGAAAGTAGTACAGGTTGATTGACCAAACCTGTTGCTTGCAGTACAGGAGTATTCTCCTTCAAATTCCTTCTCTACTTTGTTAATGACAAGGGTATATTCATCTCGCTCTTGAACAAATGTGTAAACTGATGAACTTGTTATAACCCGACCATTGTGGAACCACTGGACATTAGGCTTTGGAAGACAAGATACTGTGACAGTAAATCTAGCTGTGTCCCCAATAGTGACAGCTGCTGGTGAGAGTTGGGTCACAAAAACAGGCTTTTCTTTTTTCTTCTCCATTGTGCTAGAATAAAGTTTGGACTCTGGCTTGAGTTCAAGTGTTTTGCTTTTGCCTAATTGTAGACCGGTGAAGTAAGACTCCTGTTTTTCCTCTTCAGCTGAGACAATGAAGCTAGAGAAAGCTGAGTAAAATAATTAAATTATGTTATCACTTACAATAATGTATAAATATTAAGATAGAAAAAACAATAAAGGAATAAAGAATAAAGGAATGCATTTAAAAGATAACACCTCTTGAATTGAAATCAGCAAGACAAAAAACATGCATTATTTTAATTTAACGTAATACCCATGTGGGTCTTACCTATTGCATTACAATTCAAGGCAAATATTATGACTGTTCAAGATAGTCACATGCCCAACATATACAAGATTTACAAAAGGGACATTATACATTATCATATTGCTCCAGACATTTCAAAAAAATTCAGCAAGATATGGTCCTGTGCAAAACAAAAGATAAAGGGCCTGTTTCCCAGATCCAGATCAAGCGTACTCATGGTCTACAAAGCACTTCCAACTCTGAAAGTGCTTTTTAGTCCAGGAATAGGCTTAATCTCAGTCCAGCAAACCGACATTCAATCACATGTTAATGATAAAGAAAATATATTTACCTCTGACTTCCTTTTCCTTTATCTCCACCTCCTTTTCAACCACTGTAAATAGACAAACATTTATAAATTAGTGATATTTCTCAAATATATACATAGTACTGACTGCTATAACCAGGTAACATAGGTTGCATCCATATTGTCAACATCTATTTTGCAATGACAAAAACAATCTGACATGCTTTGGTTTTGATGTGGTCATACAGTGAATTCCGTCTCTTGGAAAGCGTGTAGTAAATTGAGCACATCTCTCTCTCTTTTCACATTTAAGTCAGTGTACTTGACAACCTGTTTCTTAGCACATTTTGCCATGAGCTATCGTTCTATAATGTATTTTTATTGTGGTATAGGGCAGTGTGAGAGCTGTGTGAAATGTGGAGTTGACAAAAACGGCCAATAGTTGGGAGCAGTCTGAAATGTGTAGTTGACAAGAACGGCCAATAGTTGGGAGCAGTGTGAAATGGGGAGTTGACAAGAACGGACAATAGTTGGGAACAGTGTGAAATGTGGAAGAATGGCCAATAACGGCCAAGAGTGCATATTGGTGGTAAGGACCAAAGCATGCAGTTGCCAACCTTTCATCACTGTGCTGCATTCAGCATCTCCGGCTGAATTGACAATTTTGCAAGTGTAAACACCCTCTTGCTTAGGACCAACGTTCTTAACATTTAAGCAGCACAAGGGCCCCTTGTGTTTCAGAGAGTAAGAAATTGACTCTTCGACAATCAACCGATTGTGTAGCCAAATAACAAACGGAGTAGGGATTCCCTTTATAACGCAAAAGAGAGACACGGTGTCTCTAGGTTTGGCAAGGATTTCTGGGGGCAGTGTCACAAGGAACTCTGGGTAGGTGGCACCAATGTAATCACATTCGTATTCTCCATAGGGTATAACATCAGGGTAATACTCATGGCTTATCTGCCTTTGAGTTCTCTGTGAGAATGGCGGTAGAGGTCCAAGACTCTGTAAGGACTCCTGCTTGTCTTGGTCAGAGGGCTTTTTAGGGGACTCCTTGTCTGTCTTAGAGTCTTTATTGACAGAATCGGAAGGGATGGGTGTTTCGGCTTTGGAATTCACTTCTTTGGCTGGGTGAGAATAAAGTTAAGGGAGATTTATTAGGTATTAAGAACATCAGTCAGAGGACATCAGTAAGAGGGTATCTTAGATCTAAACACTGGGAGTTAGTAAGATGGGGAGATGATGTTAGGGGCATGCTTTGAATGGGAGAAAAAAACTATACTTACAAAATAAATATGTTATTACATTATATTACAAACTGTTACAATCTAAAGGAAATATTAAAAGTTTTAAAGGTTTTACAAAAGCATCCAGCGGAATGGAGGTGAAATGGACCAGAGAGTGGAAATATTAAATTGAAACTGTATCCACCTTCAATTGTGAGTTGTGCCGAGGTTCTGTTCTCGCCATGTTTATTTTTTGTGGTACAGAGGTATGTCCCTTGGTCGCCAAGCTGAACATTGAGTATGACGAGCAACAGCACACCTCCATTTTGGGTACGTTTCACCCTCTCCGTGTCTGTGAGAATCCTTCCATTATGGTCCCACACTATTTCAGTAAAGGGTTGCCCGTCGAACGAGCAGTTGAACTGAGCCATGTCACCACTTTTGACTTTGACATCATTCATTTTCAAAAGCAACTTAGGGCTTCTAGGGATGCTCATTTCAGAATTCTCAACAGTGGTCACCTCAACCATCTTTACTGATGAAGATGATGTCCTCATTGTGGACATCTCAGACACAGTCTCATAGGTCTGTACATTGTGTGATCCACTGACATCCACTGACTGGTACCCTTCTGAATACATTTCCTTTTTGTGACTTATCATTGTTCCCCCAGTGCTTGACACACTTTGCCTAGCTACAGATTTCATATTTTGATCTGGGAGAATTAGAAGAGTGTAATTTGGTCAACAATCAACTGCTATCAAAATGAACCTATACTATGAGTAAAGGAAAGTTTAAATCTTTGAAAACAAATTATCCCCCAAGGCAATATGAAGATAAGAAGAAATCTCAATTGGATCATACAAGTACATGCATAGCGTAAAAATAAGTTACAGGACAAATAGTATCTATTCTCAACCTTTAATAATACAAAAGCGCACATAAATTGGACATACATAATTAACTATGCTCAATAAGAATTTTACTCACCTTCAAGTGCCAGATATCCGGCGCAAGTGACCATTCCTGCTGAGTTTCTGGCAACACAGGTGTATTCCCCTTCATCCTCGGGGTACACTCTGGAAATCTCCAGCAGGCAGGTGTCATCGAACTGAGACATCCTGAAGGCATTAGACTGTCCGATCTCTTTCTTGTGGACGTACCAAGAAATCTTTAGATCTAGCAAAATAAAAGTTTGGTTCATGTCAATAGTATTAATAATACAAGATTATTAATGCTACTTTTTATGAATAATACAATACTATTATTATTTTAATTTAACAGTTTAGAGAACACAGTAAGAGATAGGCCTAGCGGAAGTCGAGATAGATACCTTCACCAGAGATTCTGCACTGGAACCTAGCAGCCTCTCCCTCATTGACTGAGGTGTTGTTCATTGGTGTTATGATCACAGGCTTGGACAGTGGAGATCCAGTGTCAGGAGAAACGACTTCTGAAACTGAAATAAAAACATCAGACTTTTTATTGACTTTTTTAATTAAGAGGTTATTTCAGTTCTTTATATGTGATTGTTTTTTCACTTTACCTTCCACATGGAGTGGTGCTGAGCTGGTGGCAAGCCCAACGTCATTCTTGGCCTCGCAGTTGTACAAGGCTGCGTCCTCTGGGAACACTTCGATGAGAAGCAGAGTGTGCTCGTTTCCTTCACGCAGGAACTTGCACTTGAAGCCAGGGGAGAGAGCCTGGGAGTTTTTGTACCATAACACCTGGGGCTGGGGGACGCCAGTCACTTCCACAGCAAATCTGGCAGGTTTGCCAGCCTCCACAGACAGGGCCTGCATGCCGCGAACGATCTGAGGTGGCTCAGGGACTAAATTATGGGAACAAACAGACATTTGATGAGAAGGAAGGAAGGAACACCAAGCTTAGGGAAAATTGGGTAGTAAAAAAAAAACAGTATACACATCAAGCGGAATTAGGATAATCCATCTGTTTTCCCTGTGATTTAGTTGTTTAAACACATCGTGAAATATGAATGGTTGTAAAAACATATTAGAAAATTGCATAATTATTTCAGAGTGACTTTCATTTATCGAGAGTAAAAAGAGAGCAAACACTTACTATTGACATGTAGAGTCACCATAACCCTGTTCTTGCCAGCGATGAAGGTGTACTCCCCTGCATCATTTCTATAGGTTTCAGAGATGGTCATGCGGTGGACCTTTCTAATGGCAATATAGTGGAGCCTATCGTCAAGGTGGAACTGGATCTCAGCACCGTTCCTCAGCCAGCGACCTTCAACGTCGTCCTCACTGACTTCAAACTCAAATGACGTTTTTTGTTTCTCAACAACCTGAAAATAAATCATACAAATGTTCATATTAACACTGATAATTTATGAACTATTCAGTTTTAAACTAGCCTTCTTCAATGAAGTTATCCGTATTCACCGTGAATTCTTTCTCCTCTGGTTCTGTGATGCGGACGTCACGCCCCTCCACGGTGAGATGAGCCTTTGACATGCTTGCACCAGCGACCACAGAATACTCTGCGGCATCAGACAGGCGGACTGACTGGATCATTAGACGGTGCAGGAATTTCTCAGTGGAGACTTTGTATCTGTCAAGGCATTTTAGAAGTAACAGTTAAGATACAGAGGAATTGTTCAAATGTAGCATTTCACAGGAATCTCACAGGTATAATATAAAAATAAATGAATGAGACGTACCTTTCAGACATTTCCAGCTCCTGTCCATCTTTCATCCACATCACCTGAGCATTAGGCTCAGAGATCTCACATTCAAAAGTTGCCCTCTTCTTCTCTGTGATCTTGATATCTTTGATGTGCTTGGTGAATTCAATAACGCGTGCTGTGAGAGAGCAAATACATTAATAAACAACAGAAAAATTACTTCCAAGATTAATATTAAGAAAGGTTCTGGATTAAAAAAAGAAACATACCATCGACATATAGGCTGGCTGTAGTTGTAGCAGAGCCAGCAACAAACTTATACTCTGCACCGTCACCAAAATGAACATTTCGGATGGTGAGAGAGTGAGTTAGCTGTTTGGTGCGGCTCTGGCATCTGTCAGTGGAGCGTATCTCAACACCATTCTTGAGCCACTTGTAGGTGATGCCCTCATAGTTGACATTCACTTCAAATGTGATGGTGTCTTTCTCCTGTGCATTGAGGTCTTCCAGCATGGAGGTGATCAGAATGGCTGAAAAAAACAATGTAATTAGAGTAAAAGACCTATGTGATCAAAAATAATTTAAAGTACAGGTTAGTTGAAAACTTACGGCTAACTTTCAGAGTTGCAGAGACTTTGTCATTTCCACAGACAAAGGTGTATTCTGCAGAGTCTCCACTGCTAGTGTTCATAATCTTGAGCTGGTGAAGTTTGCCCTGCACCACAATCCTGAACTTTTCACTCATTTCGATCTCCACTCCATTTTTCAGCCAGGTGGATGGGACATTGAAATGTGAAACTTCACATTCAAAGGTGGCCACCTGGGTCTCTGGGACTTCAATGTTCTTGATAGGTTTTGTGACACGCAGAGCTGTAGAGAACGAACAATAATTAATAGATTGAAAATACATTTAATGTGTGGGTTGAGTCATCTATTTGTTCACGTGTCAACACTTACATTCAACAAATAAATGAGCACTGCACTGCACATGTCCAACCATAGCAGTGTACTCTCCTGCCTTGTGGTCATCCACATTCTGGATGATCAGCTTGTGAGCTTTTCTCTCAGACAGCATTTTGATGTTTTCACTTGGTTTAAGCTCAACGTTGTTGAACATCCATTTGATAGGGATGTCATCATGAGACAGACTCAGCTCAAAAGAGGCAGTGGCATCCAATAGCGATGTCACATCTTTAGGCTTCTTCGTTATAGTAATTGCTGAAAAAAAGATTGAGTGTCAAAACTTTCAAAATCTTAAGTAGACATACATTTGCAATTTGTGACCATAAAAATATTAACTTACCCTCAACGTTCAATCTGGCATTAGCAGATAGTTTTCCAAGTTTGAATCCATAAACTGATTCATCGTGTATGTTGCAGTTCTTGATCTTCAAGGTGTGGATCATACCATCAACGGTGATATCATATTTCTCACTAGGTTGGATCTCTACGCCATTCTTAATCCATTGTGAGCCCTTCACATGCTCATGGCTGAGCTCCAGAATGAATGCTGCTTCTTGTGTCTCAGTGACAGTTTGGTTCTTCAGGGTCTTCTTGACTTTCACAGCTATGAAATCAAACAAACATTACATAACAGCAGGCATATAGTAATCATATAATAGTCATATATTAATGTCAGTTGAAAATAAGTTAACATTTCCACTCAAGAGGTAACACCTACCCTCAACTCTCAGGTTGGCTGTTGTCTTGGAGTTTGCAATCTGGTAAGTGTATTCACCGATGTCATTGGGTCTGGTTATGACAATAACAAGACGTCTGACAGCTCCTTTTTTCTCACTCCTGACATTTTCACCAAAGTCACAAGGTTGTCCGTCCTTCAGCCAATTGCCCTCAGCAGTTGGGTTGGCCACCTCACACTCAAACTCAGCCGTCTGAGAGTCAGCCACAATTATGTCATGCAGGGGTCTGGATATAGCGCCACCTGGGAACACAAATACATTTGGATTTATTTCCTCCAATTGGGTAACTGCCCTAAAAAGTAATGTGTTTCTTTGACTGCAGTTTTGACATTTGGTAGATGAATGGTTGTTGTAATATCCAACTGAACTTTTACACCATAACTTGTATATGTTTACAGTGTAATGCACTTTTTTGACTAGAGTTATCTTACCTGACACAGTAAGCTTTGCGCTGGATGTCTGTTCACCAGCAGCGAATGTGTATTGCCCCTCTTCATCCTTCATGGCATTAATGACAGTCATACTGTGGTTCTTGCCCTTGGTCACTATCTTGTACTTGGAATCATTTTTCAGTTGTTGTTTCTTGAAGGTCCAGATACCATCAATGCCAGGGTGGGACACCTCCACATTAAATGTGACGTGCTGTGTCTCTGTGCAAACTTGATCCACCATTTGCTTCACAATTGAAATTTCTGCAAAAAAAGTTAAGTATGTTTTAGTTGGATAATGTCTGTAACTGACAAAAGGTATTGTATGAAGTTATGTTGCATGTAATCAGTTGTGCAAACGCTTACTTTGGACCATCAGTTTACAGCTAGAGTCAGCTTTGCCAACACATAGCTTGTAGGTTCCTTCATCAGAGGCGAAGGTCCTATTGAACACCAGACGCTGTTTGGATCCCTTTGGAACAATCTGGATTCTCTCACTGGGCATCACAAGCTTGTCATTGTGGAACCACTTAATTGAGCTAATATCTGCAGCAGAGATTTTAGCCTCCATAACAGCCTTGGTGCCCTCAACTGATGTAATATCTTTGAGTGGGGTCAAGATGCTAATCGCTGTAATACACACAGAAAAAGACAACACGATAAGGCCTAGTAGATAAGGAAATACTCAAAATTAGAATGTACAGTATGAAATCAAATCGCTTACTTTGAACAGTCAGCTTTGCAGTGGTGGAAATGTCCTGAGCAGGAACTACAAAGGAGTACATTCCACCATCAAGCCTGCCTGTATCCTCTATGAGAAGTTTATGGATGAGCTTGTCAATAACCATGTGGATGCGATCTGAGGCTTCAATGGCAACACCATTCTTCATCCAAGTGCCCTCAACATTTTCTTGAGAGAATCGCACCTCAAACTGGCTGATGTCACCCTCACAGATTGTCATATCAGAGAGGGGATGCAACAGGGTCACAGGGCGCACTAAAAGAAAAGAGATTGAAATAAGATTTGTTTTCATGTAACTACACCTGGTAATAGGTCATGAAAAAACAATCTGCAAGCATAGTCTTTTTTTCTTTAAACTAGATAGAAATCCTCATCATTACAATACTCACGTTTCATCTTCAGGGAGGCACTTGTCTTGAATTCACCCGTGGTGAATGTATATTTTCCTTGGTCTTCTTTCTTGACATCTTTCACAGATAAACTGTGGCGTCCACGGCGGGAGGAGATGGCGTGCTTGCTGCTGGGAGTGAGCTCCTTGTTCTCAAAATGCCATACACCTTCGGCATCCTCTCGAGACACTTCACACTCAAACTCCCCAGAGTAGGTCTCAGGCACCTCAATGTTCTCCAGCCTCTTCACAATTGACAGTGGGGCACCTGCAAAATGAGAGCACTGTTAGTAAATGTATTCCAGAAAACAAAGAGTACATTTACTGTTGGAAAAGGCCGAACTGAAGAATGTATTATGTATTAATCTTTAACATTTAGGACATGTTTCCCACAGATTAAGTTTAGTCCTTCTCCATTGAACCTGCTTTTTAGTCTAAGACTAGGTTTAATCTGTATCTGGGAACCTGGTCATTAAAGTCATACTTGTACACCAGTGGTAAGAAAAACTGCCAACCTTCCACGTTGAGTCTGGCAGTGGTCCTGATGTGGTCATCTTCAACAACAGCACAACTGTATTCTGCATCGTCCTTCATGTTGATGATCAGTACAGAAAGGAAATGAACCTTTCTGTCTGAGTGCATCCTGTATTTGTCTCCAGAGAAAATCTCTGCATTGTTCTTCAGCCATTTGACTTTGACAAAAGGCTCATTGGTCTCACACTCAAAGGTCGCCATGGTGTCTTTCTCTTTCACGTTGATCTCTTCTAGTTCTTGTGTGAAGGTGATGACTGTCTTTGCTAAAAGGATGAAGATGGTATAATGTGAGTATCAGGGATGCCGTGATATATCAATTACAGGTATTCCCAGGCGGTCAATAGGCTACTATTGCTATGAATAATGTAGAACAATTACTGAAATTATTACTTTACCTTGCACCAATAAGAATGCATGGCTTGAAGTCTCTCCAGCAATGTTCACGGCTTTGACCATGATGCTAGCAGAGTCTTCTGCTGTGACATCTCTTATTACTAATTCACACACGTGGTCTTCAGGCCAGAAGGAGTAAATGCGATCTGTTTTCTCCAGCAGAATTCCATTCTTGAACCACTGGCACTCAGGGTCTGGTCTACCGGTAACTCGGACTCTGAAGTGAACTTCTTCCATCTGAGACACGGTCTGACTAGCAATGCGTTCAATGATCTTTGGAGCTTCCATGCTGGGAGAGAGCTTTACTCTCTCTGGTTTAATTGAGGAAGCATGAACCTTGTGTTCCTCCTCTTTCTTCTTCTCAGCCTCAGACAACAGTTTCTGATGGTGAAGCAGTTCTTCCTTCCTCTTCCTAAGCATATCCTCATAGGACTCATCCTTCTTACGAGACTTGAGCTCCACAGCAGTGATGGCTTCATAATAACCTTCCTCTGTCCTGCGCTTAAATTTGCCCTTCAACTCGTCTGTCTCCTCTGTGGCTTTTGAATGGATGACTCTTTCGGTCTTCTTCAGTTGCACTACCTCTTTGGTCTCTTTGGTGGCAGTTGCTTTTTCAACCTTTACTATATCAAAGGAAACTCTGCCATGTTCAGCCATGGTGCTAGGCTCTGGGGCCTTAGGCTCTGGTGCACGACGAAGAATGGATCTGAAGTCCTCTTTCTGTGTGATCTCCAGCTTCACCATATGCTCAGCTGTGCCCTCAGGGTTCTCTGCTACCACTTTGACATCTCCTGCATCATATGACTTGATATCGATAATCTCAAGATAGTAAATGCCATCATAGCGAAGTCTCATTCTCTTGCTCTTGCGAATGAGCTGCCCATTGAGGTACCAGTTGACCTTAGGTGTAGGATAACCAGTTACTCTGCAACGGAACCTTGCAATTTCACCTTCCTGCACATTTGCATTCTCAGGAAGAAGGACAATTTCAGGCTTTGACTTCTCTGAATACTCATCAGCAGTGACTCCAGAAGGACCTCCCTCGTGAGCCATGCGCTCCATCTCATCAATTCTGTGTATTCCCCTCCTGCCCTCAGGTAACTGAGTTTCCTCCACCATGCTCTTCTCCTCCTTTACAATCAGTGTAGCCGAGGTCTGATCGGCACCAAATGTGTTAGTGGCTCTGCAGGTGATGACACCACTGTCTCTGGCATAGGCAACTTCAAAGTCAAGACTACAGTAGCCAAATTCGTTAACCATGCGCAATCTGTTAGCAGCTGCCAGGGGTTTGCCATCAAGCAACCACTCAACCACCATAGTGGGATCGCCAATAGGGGTCAGTCTGCATTCAAAGTGGACAACACCAGAATGCTTCAGCCTGACGGAAGTCAGCTTCTTCTTGAACTGTGGTTTTTGCTGCTTGTCCTTGTCATATAGGTCAGCCTCCTCCCACTGCTCTTGACCATAACGGAGATGCAGGGATTCCAACTCTGGAGCTGCAATTTCCTTGGCCTTGTATGTTCCCTTGGGAATAATGAGCCTCCTCTCTGGAGCAGGTTCAGCAGTTTCCACCTCAATGTTGACCCTGCAGCGAGTGGTATCTCTTCCAGCTTTGTTAATGGCTGTGGCTGTGTACCAAGCACTATCAGTGCCTACTGTTTGGGGGATCTGGAATTTGGCCTCTCCTTTGGTGCCTTCAATCCTGAAATATATACATTTGTATTACATTTTACTCATTTAGCAGATGCTCTTATCCAGAGAAACTAGGGTTAAGTGCCTTGCTCAAGGGTACATCAACAGATTTTTCACCTAGTTGGCTCGGGGATTCGAACCAGTGACCATTTGGTTACTGGCCCAACGCTCTTAATCACTAGGCTACTGTAATGTATCGGAATAGACTAAGAAGAACATGTGAGGTCAATACACTAACTGCATTTCAACTCACAATAGGAACAAGACACTCACTTGATATTTGGGTGCTTCACTGGGGAGATGATGTCACTGTTTTTCAGCCAAACAATATCAGGCAGCGGGTTTCCGATGGCTTTGACAGCCAACTCAACCAGAGTGCCTTGCTTAATACTGATGTTCTTCAACTTCTCAATAAACTGGGGTCTAATCAAGTTTTCTTTGGCTGTAAATGTAACAAAGATCAAGCACATAAAAAGAAATAACAAATAAACAAGAGATTCATGTCCTGAAATATTCACAGAAGCACAAATCAAAATGTACCCCTTTTTCCAGAGCCAGTCACATATTTCAAATGGAGCCTTACCATCAACTGTAAGTGTCATGGAGACAGAGGTCCTTCCAGCTCTGTTCTGAGCGACCACGGTCCACTCTCCAGAGTCATGGGGCATGGCTGGAACCACAATCAGTGACGTAGTTCCATCTTCCTTCACCACTATCTTGTGGGTGTAATCATTGACAACTTGTTGTCCTGAAAAGAACAAAGAGAGGAATAATAGTTTAATACTTTTTTAAATAAAACGTATCCTAGATGATTTTGTCCTCTGTAGCTCAATTGGTAGAGCATGGCGCTTGTAACGCCAGGGTAGTGGGTTCGATCCCCGGGACCACCCATATGTAAAAATGTATGCACGCATGACTGTAAGTTGCTTTGGATAAAAGCGTCTGCTAAATGGCATATTATATTATATTATTATATATAATATTATTTGTATTATATTATATATTATATTATATTATATTTCATGTATCATGTTATGGGACACTTACCATTGTGGAACCAGAAGGTGTCAGGCATGGGTCTACCAACTACTTTCAGGTCAAATCTGGCAGTCTGCCCTTCAGCACACTTGAATGACTGTGGTTTCAAGACAAACACAGGCTTGTACAGTCTCTCCAGCTGACTTTCATCAGTGTCATCAAGTCTGCGAGCAGGAGAGCGTCCGGGAGAGCGTCCGGGAGAGCGGCTTGTAGAGCGTGGGGATGTGGACCTGAGCAAATAAATACAGAAATTAGAAGATCTTATGATGGCTTTATGATGAGGCTATTAAGCCTCACTTACATGTGGGATTTTTTTCCCTTTCAGAGTATAACATCTCACCTCATTCGCTGCATAGCCGGTGACTCAGGCATCTGTGGAGCTTCTGCTCCTGCAGTGGGAACCACATACAGTTTCCCAGAGCTTACAGAGTTGCCCTTCATGTTGCTAGCTAATGCTGTGTAAACACCTTCATCCTCTGGCAGCACCACAGGAAGACGCAGGCTGGCTCTACCATCCTGAAGACTCTCCATCTGGTAACGGCCGCCATGATGGATACGCTTGCCATCTTTGTACCATGCGATCTTTTGAGAGACAAGAAATGGTTGATAAATATATACAATGTTTCATCTCAACATTTATATGAAGTAGAATGGACACAAAATATAAAAATACATGTTTTTTGACTACCTTGGGCAATGGAGTTCCAGCCATTTTGCAGTGGAAAGTAACACCCATTCCTTCCATGATCCTGTAGTTTTTAACTGGAGTGCTAAAGGCTGACTGTACAGCCTCACGATCTGCCACAGTCACCATCTCTTCCCGATCCTCAGTCACAATTTGTTGGTATGTAATCTGCATGATGCGGACCTCAATCTCATGGATAATCCTCTCCTCAACGACAGTAACCTTGAGTTCCTGTAAACAATTTTTTTTAAGTAAAGCCATTGAGTGAATTATTGGATTTCCATTGTAGGGTAAAATGACCTCAAAAACAGGCCAAGTGTCAGATAACATCTGATGTAGTGTTTAGTGTGAGGTGCCTCAGCTGATCACTATACCTGTTCGGAGATAAAGGTGCGTGTCGCCTGGGCCTGCTGAGTCATTCTGTGATGCATGTACATCCTCTGTTCTGTCTCATAGTCACTAACAGCAACAGTTGGTACATCTGCCACTTTGGGCTCCTGCACCATTGTAGTCACTTCAGTCTTATATGTCACTTCATGTTTCTTCATGTATTCTTCATATTCCTCTGTAATAAGGGATATTCCAAGGTTTATAGGAAATACCAATTTAGCGTAAGGCTATAACTCAACCCCGCAAACATTTTCTAATAAAAATTCAAAGGACTGACCTTCCTCAAGCAGACTGGCTGAGGCAGACTCTTCTCCAAGCGGGTTCTTGACAAAGATGGAGTACTCTCCAGCATCATCAGCAAATGTCATGGAGATCTCCAATTTACACATTCCACTCTCCTTATTGTAGTGCACTTTATATCTAATGGATGGAAATATAATGTATTGTAGAAAGCACAATCAAACAATCCAAATTCAATATAGTGATTGACTAGATATGTGTCACCTGTATCCAGTAGTAAGGGGCACTCCACTCTTCTTCCAGATAATGTGTGGCTTGGGGCTGCCTCCGATCTGGCACTCAAAGACAACACTTCCGCCCTCCACCAACTTCTGTACAGTTGGCTTCTTGACAAAGAAGGGAGCTGCTTCCACAGTCTCTGTAACAGCGCTCACCTCCAACATGGTCTCCTCCTTGGCGCCAACGCTAATCCTAACAGGAAGGTTTAATGATTTAACTATCTAATATCTTGAGCAAAAAATTGTCTAAAATTTAAAGCAAGAAACTATCAATTTGTATGCTTTCAATGCAAACTCGTAAATAACATATTTGTTAATAGGTAATGCTGTTTTTTACTCACTGATGCTCTGCAGAAGTTTCAACATGTTCAGACACAGTAGTGTCCTCTCTGCTCTCAATCTCCTCTGACACTGCAATATAAAGTCTGGTTTAATAATCCCAATAAGGTATAGGTACAGATACATAACATTGTTTTATTTCCCTCTTTATGCTCTTTACCCTGGACAAGCAGGTAGCAGGATGTACTGATGGTTCCAGCCTCGCTAGTAGCAGTGCAAGTGAAGCGACCGCTGTCTTCTGCGAAGGCCTCGCGGATGACCAGACGGGCACATTTACTCTCATAAGTGATCTGGAAGTCAATGGAGCTCTCAATTCTGTAGTCCTCTCTGAACCACATGATGCCAGGGGCAGGGTGACCAGTGATCTGGCATTCCAGAGTCACAGATTCACCCTCAGTCACAGTCAAGTTCTTCAAGCCCTGAAAACAACACATACATGATTAGTAAAATGCTAATCTATAGATAAAAGTAATTAAAATGTAAGAATGAAGAATGAAAAATATGAAAATACTTACAGCCACAAGAGTAGGTGGCACAGTTGGCTCCTCCATGGGTGATGGAACAACTGCTGTTTCAACAACCTAGGGAATACACACATCTCTGTTAATGTCATACTATTTCCAAACACTGTATGTGTGTGTGTGTGTGTGTGTGTGTGTGTGTGTGTGTGTGTGTGTGTGTGTGTGTGTGTGTGTGTGTGTGTGTGTGTGTGTGTGTGTGTGTAACACCTCCAGCACATTTTGAAGTGGAGAAAAAATTATTTGGACGACAAAAGACAAATGGACTGGTTTAGTTAGAGGGTGTCGTGGGAGGGGAGGTATACAAGGACCATGTTAAGATTAGTAGCAACTAAGGAGAACTGTTAAGACACTGGAGAGGAGAGGTTCTGATACATGGGGACTAGTATCTGAAAAACACCTGGGTTACAAACCTGTTGTTCCCAGTCCTCATAAATTTGCTCCATGCCCCCTGAAAACGAAGTGCCTATCTGTTTCTGCTGTAACTGAGTGTCGAAATGTGTCTGATATCTGTCGGTGATATCTTTAAACGGAGGCGGGGTCGGCTCTGGCGTCACTCTTGTCGCCACCACAATCTTATGAGATGGAGGCTTGACTGGCTTGATGATCTTTTGAGCAGCATGTGCAGAGGTAGAGGATAACTCTTTCTGCAGTGTGGCAATAGCAGAACCTGCTATCGAAACCTGACCAACCCAAGGAGAATAGCATTATCATCACGAATCAGAACAAAGCATTATGAACGTCTTGGGTTTGTTTTGTTTAGCCACAAAATGGGGAATCTAAGTTAGTTTGATTAAAGCCTATATGAATGGAGGGGATTTAAATAAAATATAAAACTACAGTATGTTAGAGGATTATTCAAATGAATATTACATTCTTAGTATAACTATTGATTAATGGTAATAGGAGGGGAGTGATTAAGACCAAGAGCAAATATATCAAATCATTATTGTTTAGATTACATTTTGTATTAAGTTCTTATCTGTATGATTGCTACAAAGATAGAAAGTTGCATCTCAGGCAAGCAGGAACCACGTTTACATATTTATAAATATCTACCACTATATTCGATACACAATTATTTAGTTATTTTCTGTTATGTTGCACTGCTTGCCCGATGTTGCCTATGCTTACCTCATAGCTATGGTCAGGTTTAGGAACCATAACTTTTGAAACTGTGAAATGTGGAATTGGGGATGGTGCAAGGCCAGTATCCACTTGAGTGGTAGTTCTTTGCATCTAAAATAACCAATGGAGTTCATTATAACCCAAGAAATATAAGAAATTACTCATTTAAAAATGTTTTTCTTTCTTCTTCTATTGTCTGCTTAAAAGTTACGTCTAACCTGGGAGACATGAATACTCTGTTCAGGAGCAAAGGTTTGAATTGTTGTTTGCTTTTGCCCAGCCTCAGTCCTCGTTGAGAATTGTTGCTCAGTAGTAGACAGCATCGACTGCTGTTTTAAATCAGAATCTATGGTTTCCTCTTCAGCATAACCACCCTCTGAATGCATTGGCTTCCGAACGCGTGCTAGGTCAACAGCAGCAACCACTGTAGCCTTTGCCTCCGCTTTTTTCCCACCCACAACCTTTGAGACAACAAGCAATCAATGTCATCTAGCACATAGATAGCATACACATCATCCATGGCAGTAGTACCAACAAAATGTTGACATAACATAACAAAACATACAAATGAATGTAACAAAACATGTACCAATAACATTTTGTGTAATTTAACATATCATTGCATCATACCGTGCATTCACTGTAATATTGTGAAGTGGGTTAGTGACATAATGATGAGGACTTAGCGCTCAGCAAACCTCTCAAAACACGCCCCCAGGTGGTTGACAAAAACAGGACCATAAAGAGAAAGGGATGTGACAAAAGATATGGGGAAAGAGAGAGAGTAAAAAGGAGGAAATATTTATTATATGTATATACGGTATATAATTTATATATATATATTTTAATGTATTTAGTATTTTGTTCTTTATACCTGTGTTTTGTTTTGTTTGACATGTTTGATGTAGGGATGTAAGTTGTTGATAATTTTGTAGGCCTGATTTACATTTACATTTAAGTCATTTAGCAGACGCTCTTATCCAGAGCGACTTACAGTTAGTGAGTGCATACATAATTTTTAAATTTTTATTTTCATATTGGCCCCCTGTGGGAATCAAACCCACAACCCTGGCGTTGCAAACGCCATGCTCTACCAACTGAGCTACATCCCTGCCGGCCATTCCCTCCCCTACCCTGGACGACGCTGGGCCAATTGTGCACCGCCCCATGGGTCTCCCGGTCGCGGCCGGCTACGACAGAGCCTGGATTCGAACCAGGATCTTTAGTGGCACAGCTAGCACTGCGATGCAGTGCCTTAGACCACTGTGCCACTCGGTGTGTCATCATCACACCTGTGCTACCTGCTCCTCAGTAGTCACCACCATACTTGAAGCAGTGAAGGTTCCCATATTATCTCCATGTTGGATCTCAGTGCCGACGGTTGCTCCTTCTGCTTCACTAGCCTGTTTAACAACTGCTGCCACCACTGTTGCCTTGGTTGCTGTTGTTGTTTTCATGATGTCTGGTGTATGCTAAATGTTGCCAAACAGCAATAAAAGGTTGTTGAAACGGTTTGTTTCCTCGTCAGCATTCATATTAAATATATTGGGATGTGGGGGTAATGCGCATATCTTGGATGGATATGGACAATGACTCGTGCAAGAAGTACAGAAGGTAGAAAATTGCAAAAGAGTTGCAAATTATTTTATGCAGCATGAGATTGATGGGGAAAGTCAATAGGGACACTCAAAATATGACGGGGAAACTTTAAATATGAGTAGAGTAACTAGGTGGATATCAGAGGAGGCTGGTGGGAGGAGCTATAGGAGGACAGGCTTATTGTAATGGCTGGAATGGAACAATATCAAACACATTAAACATTTGGAAACCACATGTTTGACTCTGTTCCATTACTCCATTCCAGCCATTACAATGAGCCCGTACTCCTATAGCTCCTATGGAGGGGAGAGGGTTTTATTTCTAAACTACCTGCTCCTGTATTGGTGCTATAAACACAGCAGCAGAGCTTGTCTGTGTGCAGGATCCATCTACAGACAGGGGGTTGCGGCTACGTGCCTGGTCCACCGCTGCTACCACGGTAGCTACAGCGATCACTTTATCATCCGGATAATACTGCTGGCACTGTCATATGTTAGTGTGATTAGGAAGCAATCAAACGCATGAACATCATACAAGAACATTGAACAAGGAAAACGTATCACATGGATGACTATCAGTAATATCTGTGTAGTAATTTGCTCCTATTTAAACATTCTGTTATTGATCACAGTAATAATATTGAACAAGGAAAACATATCACACGGATGACAAAAAGTCAACATATCTGTTTAGTTATATGCTCATTGAAACATTCTGTTGTGTGTAACCATTCATTTGCCATATTCACATCTATGGAGGCTCTTTGCTCCACAAGGAGCTAAAAAGGAATAAGCCAAGAGAGTCATTCACACTTAACACAGTAGACAAGGGTTTCCCAAACGTTTTGGTTTTTGCCCGAGCACTACACAGCTGATTCAAGTAATCAACTAATCATCAATCTTTAATTATTTGAATCAGCTGTGTAGTGTTAGGGCAAACTCCCCAGGATGGAGTTTGGGAAACCCTGCAGTCGACCACTAGATGGCTCCACTTCCACAGTAAACCACTAGATGGCTCCACTCCCACAGAGTTGAGCGGCCCAGATGGTGATCTCCTTACCTCTCTCACAGCGACACCAGATACAGCAGCACCAGTCGTTTTCAATCCATAAGAGCCCTCCCAGTGCTGCTCCATGTGAACATGGGTGGCAGAAGTCTGGACATGGGTGGCACTAGAGGCAGCAGTCATGCTGTAGCTGGACTCTGCCACTAATCCCTCTCCCTGCTTCCATGGTGGAGGCACATCTGGACTATGGGATACTTGTTTGCGTGTGGTCAGTGGGGATTTTACTGGTCTGATTGGTGACACAGACAGTCTTGAGGCAGAAATGGGAGAGGCAGACCTGAAAATGGAAAACAGTCACATACAAGTTATTTGAGAATAGACACAAATTTAAGAGTTTGAAGTCTACTACAATAGCAATGTGAGTCGGTTTCCCAGACCTAGATTAAGCCTAGTCTTCAAGCAAAGCGCTTTGAATAAAGAATCCCCATTGAGCATGCTTTGTAGTCCAGGAGTAGGCGTAATCTGAGTCCAGGAAACCAGCCATGTGTATTCCAATAGGATGAAGATCAAATGTCTTACCTGACAGGGGCCGGAGTGGGCGCCTTGACATGTCTCACAGGTGATGGTGACTGATGACGTCCCCCTGCAACCCTGGCTGCAAGAGATGGTGGTGTTGGGGACTTGGAGGTTGAGGTTGGCTTTGGAGGCACACGTGGGGGTGTCTTGTGTGCCAATGTCTGGCTCACTACACCACCTTCAACACGCATTTCCATCATAGAGCTGGACTGGAAATGTGACTCCACTCTCTGAAATGAAACAGGAAAAAGTAAGTAGGAGTAAGCAAGATTTAATATCTATTATAGCATTTTCTATTGTTAAAGGTATACTTCCCAGTGAGCAAAACTGGTTGAAAATACATTTCAATGGAAAAACAGATTGAAATGATGTCTTTTCAACCAGTTTTTCTCACTGGGTTCACTTTTTTAAAAGCTTATTTATGACTTTGGACTAAGACTACAGTAGACTCTTACTCTGGTCTCTCTGGTCTGGCGGGTCTGAGAAGACATCATCTGAGAAGATGCTGACATAACAGTCTTTGTCTTCTTAGCAGGGACTGCTACCTCTTCACCTGGACATTGGAAAATAATTATATCTAGAATTAACATAAATACTTGACAAACATTTAATCTATTGACACAGCATGAATTCAAAATACAGAAATACTCAATTACATTAGTTTACATGTTTGCTTAAATGTTTTTTACTAATGTATTTTAGTTCCAACCATGAATACCAATATGAGTAAGCTTTGGCTCATGCTCTGCTCATCTAGCCACATGATTCCTGTTTCCCATCATTAATGAGCAAAAGCAAAGAAGTAATGCAGTTTTACCTTGAACCAGCAGTTCAGCAGTAGAGGTAGCCCGTCCGCTGCTGTTTGAAGCATTTACCGAGTAAGTTCCAGAATCCTCTGGGAAGGCTTCGGCAATCAACAAACTGTAAAGGTCTCCTTCTTGAACAATCTGAAAGTCAGCAGAGCTTTGTATCTCAGCTCCCTCTCTGTAGAACTTTACCACAGGTGTAGGGATTCCTGCAACACGAACATCCAGTCTCACTTGGCTTCCTTGTCTTACGGTCATACTCTGAAGTCTCTGAATAAAGTTGGGCGGCGCGGTCTCCACTGTAAGAGAACGTTTGTGTTACTGAGTGTCACACAATAACAGAACCACCTATTAAAACTGTCTCAAGTAAAATAAATACAACGTGTCACCTGTAACAAGAAGTTCAGCGGTGCTAGTGGCTTGTCCAGCACCATTGGTGGCTCTCACAGAAAATCTTCCACTGTGTGCGGCTGTCACAGCAGGGATCATCAGAACAGCGCGGCCATCGCTGAACGAGATCTGTGCGCCGGGCAGAGCGGCAGCGGAAAGAACCTGGCCATCACGGAACCAGCTCACCTCAGGAACTGGATTACCTGGAGGTAAAGTTTGTAATTTGTCTTAGTAATGATACTGCTGACAAATGTTAATATGTATTCATATAGATTATCTGGCTTGTGCTAAAAAAATGTTGCTTGAATCAATTAACAATTGACTGAGATTATCAATTGGTAGATAAAATTCTTAAAACATGGTCGGTTGCTAGGTCAAAATGTGTGATGTGAATAGAATTGCAGACAACTGGAATTTTGTGACAAGAAAAAATGAAATGTCTTACCACTAACTTGAGCCTCGAACGTTGCGGCACTACCCTCTAGTGCCACAACGCTCTGCAGCGGCTGTGTAAATGTTGGCGCCTGTGTTGACATTGTGGATGGCACCCTGGAAGAAAGACACAACATGAAAATACAGCGTTAACCTACTAATTAAAAATAGCTTACATCTATTAGGCCTACATGTTTATTTATATAATTTAGGCTATTTAACAGGGACATTATATATATAATATATTTAGTGGTCCTCTGTAGCTCAGCTGGTAGAGCACGGCGCTTGTAACGCCAAGGTAGTGGGTTCGATCCCCGGGACCACCCATACACAAAAATGTATGCACGCATGACTGTAAGTCGCTTTGGATAAAAGCGTCTGCTAAATGGCATATTATTATTATTATTTATATCATTAGGCCCACACAATTAGTGCCAGATTTAGCTAAACAGCACATTTTCATCTGCAGTCTATACCCTGGTCTCACAACAATACCTATTTGATATCTAGCTGAGTGATATGGCTTTACTTAATACAGTATATGAAGGTTCCGAAACAATCTGAGAGCAGCGCAACAGGATATTTTTAGCAGCAGAGAAATGAGGCTGAGGGACTCATCACTAATGCTCCCTGCACCTGGCCCAAAGCAGCTTGACTGTCTGTCAGTTCCACAAATCAGAGGCTCCATGGGGTCTGGGTGTTAGGGCCAAACCCTGGGACACAGTACCCAGTGACAGCCCAAAGACGAGACAATAACAACTGCTGGCTGACAATCAGCAGGTTGAGAACTAATTGACTTATCGAATGGTCAGATGTCGAAAGAACTCAATGGCAGTTAACATGTGGCCTACAATGCCTAGGCCTACAGGCAATTTACAGTGCCTCTCTAAACTTAACAATCAATGTAATTACACAACAGAAATGGCCAAGAGACATGTAGGCCTACTTTTTGCGTTGATTGTTAAATTAACATACCAAACAATTGGAAGTTAACCTATGTTTTCCACTCTCACTTTTCCCAGTCATACTGCATTCTTGGTTGAATAGGCCTACACATAATCTATCTCAATCTAGGTAGCCCATTGGGGAATATAGAGCCCTCACTAACACAAGCCTGCAATCCATTAAGTCTTATATTTCACTAGAATGTTTAAAATAGATCATAAAAAGTTCAGAATTGCAATTGGCAGGTTCAGAAATACATTACCATGCATGTAACCATAGGAGCAAGATTGGACGTAAATAGCTAGGCCTATTTCATGACATTCGCAGGCACCAGGCCTACATTCTAGAAGAATCAGGCCTGGGCTTACATTACAAGTACCAGGTTTCTGCTTACATTATACAATTTACAAGATATCAATATCCAACTTAACCAATTATACCAAATTAATTTTACATTATAATAACAAAATAAAATTATTTGTGGGGAATCTAGTGACCTAAACCTCCCTATATAGGCCTATGTTGTTTGACAATCAATTAGGTTATGTAACCATGTTATTCTACAATAGCACAGAGAACATAGGCTACATTTTATAACATTTAAATCAATTTACTTCACCATAGTCACAATTCACAAAACGTTTAGTAAATTCATTTTGAATGTTTTATAAGTTACCCAAGTAAAAATCTGCCCTGGCTCAACAACTTCCTCGATCAGCTCTTATTCAGAGCAGTGAGATATCCAATATGGAAATGTAATATTCATCTTTAGAAACAGTCTCTGAGACACTTCCATGCAGGCTGTGTAGGCCTACTTCCATGCAACAATGAAATGTCAACATCAATATATTAATGAATTATCCCAATTGAGTGTCAATGGCTAGGCTATTATCAGCCTGTGATTAAAACATAATAGAGAGAATTTTTTTTTTTTTTTATGTCAAGCAAATGGCAAAGGCCAGGTGCACACACATGTCCCTGTCTGAGACATTAATCTGAGACATTTCTGGTCATGACATTGCATCCACATATACTACAACAACAGAATGAATCCAAAACACCACCAGAATATCTATCTAAACATCAAATTGAGGGCAATGTATTTTTATCACAGGCAGCCCTTCTGTAAGCTCACTTTGATACCATGGCCTTGCTGTAACTGAAGTGACACTGTCAGACTGTCCCTGTCAGTCAAAATCTCAACCAACTCTGTCACTAGGGAGGAACTTTACCAATGTCAAAACATTATCTAAAAACAAACAGCTTCCTTATTTTACATTTACACAATAGGCTATAAGAATTGCTTTGAGAGTATCATAATGTCACGGGTTTAAATGTAGGCTGATCCAAGTGATAAAGCAGAAATATTTAACTCCTATGAATTCCTATGGGAGGGCCTGCTCAAATCCCCTGTCTTAGGGGGTTTATGACCACCATAAATACATGTTTTTCCAATACATAAAAAAAGTATGACCAGCATGTCAAGTATCATCAGAAATCAGCATTCATGAAAAACCTGTACAAAACTGAATTATCTTGAGATATTTCAAGATAGGAATCTGAGCGACAGATATGGCAGTCTCCAAAAATAATCTGTCCCCCTGCTTGCTTGATTGACAGTCACCATGTGGCACATAACTGGAGGTGCAACTGATAGCCCTGCTGCTGATTCCCTTAAAAAGACATTGCGCCCCAGCTGGGACACCACTCTAATGCTATCAGGGGCTATTCTGGGCTTTCTGAATCATAGCACCAATCCAAATGCACCATAAAGTAACCTTGAGGGATCCAAAACAGCAGTTATCAGCAACAACTTATTTAATGTAAACATATTTAATTAACAGTAAGTGACAAAGTATTATAAATCTTGACATTAAAATATAACACTGTTCATACTGTAGAACAATTTTTGCTAAAACTATTGTTTAGCAACAAACAATATAAACAAAGACTAAGGAAATAAGAAATGTTGCATCAGTGGTTACCAAGTAAAAAGGACTTACTTGTATCCACAAGGGTGCCTTGAACAGATGGGACAGTGCCCAGATGGCTATAGCCTCAGCAGCTATCTCTTTATCCAGAAATGTTTCCAGAAAATCCAAGGTGAGAACGGTTGAGCCTCCCAAGTATCCCCCCAAAAACAAAACCACACAGTTTCTTAGCTGTGTAGTTCTGTTTTTCTCCTTGCAAATCCCTACACCTGAGGCAAGGCTGGGAATGCTCCAACTGCTCAGAAGTGCCAATATGGTTGTTTAACTTTATATACTTGGGGACAAAACAGCATCATCACTTCACTGCCACTCCCCATTGGCCACCCAGGTCAGAGGCATCATGGGAAAGGGAGCCATTTATGCAAGCTCACACCTGTCACTCACTCCACACTGGTGGGAGATAAGCGTTTCATTGCTCTTTGTTTGGGTCCTAAAATTTACTCTTTCATAAAAGCTTATAATTAATAAGGAGTTAACTTAACTTAACACTTCAGAAGCAAATATTTTATTAATGTATAAGAAATAAGTTACTCTGACTCATTAAATAACTGGTGACCAAAAGGAGAGAGTGGCTGTCCCTGTCACTCAAACTAAAGACTAACCCTGTTACAAGAGGAAGAAATGCAATATTTACACCATTAGTCACCATGCTAGATACATCCCATAGATTGAAACAAATTAAAATATAAACTGTTGGCAATATGTTGTGTACTGTACCAACATGTACAGTAGAGTTAGTGCAGGTTATATGTGGTGATAATTAGTGCCAAGTAAGTAAGACTTGAGTTTTAGATAACTCTAGGTTTTGTAACCTGCTTTGGTAACAACATTGCTTGAATATGTTCACCATCCATCTTCTGGGAAACATTGAATGTCTTGACCAGTAAGGTTTAGTCATAACTTGTATGAATCATGTTCATATCTAGCTCAGAAATATTATGTTGAAATAATTTATTGAAAATGAAACAACGAAAAGGATAGTAACCAACAAGGAAAGGAAAGGGGGATACATAGTCAGTTGTACAACTGAATGCATTCAACTGAAATGTGTCTTCCACATTTAACCCAACACCTCTGAATCAAGCATATTACATAAAGTATATGTCTGGACATCCTATTTCTTTTATAAACTTTTGTCAATTGAGAAATGACTGTAAAATCAGTAATATATATGGGATCATTCACCATATACTGTAAATTGAAAGCATCCTATTTGAAAATAATGGACAATGCCTGAATTAACTTGGTATTAAACCCAACCATGTACTTGAAAAAAAGAAATGTTTTATTCGACTAGCAAATTGATAGAGAACATTAAATGATCCAGGTGCTAATGCAATGGAGAAGTGAGGGGTGAATGAGTGGCGCAGTGGTCTAAGGCACTGCATCGCAGTGCTAGCTGTGCCACTAGAGATCCTGGTTCGAATCCAGGCTCTGTCATAGCCGGCCGCGACCGGGAGACCCATGGGGCGGCGCACAATTGGCCCAGCGTCGTCCAGGGTAGGGGAGGGAATGGCCGGCAGGGATGTAGCTCAGTTGGTAGAGCATGGCATTTGCAACGCCAGGGTTGTGGGTTCGATTCCAGTATAAAAAATAAAAATGTATGCACTCACTAACTGTAAGTCGCTCTGGATAAGAGCGTCTGCTAAATGACCGAAATGAAAATGAAAATGAGCATTGGAAGCTGGGAACAATAAGGTCGCCATGATGGTATGGCCAGGTTGAGTATTTGTTCAGGACAGGGTTAATAGCCCTACTCTTGCAGTAAGATGCCATGGGATCTTCAGTAACCACAAGTTTTATTCAATGCCCCACCAGAATTTGAGACTTTTTTTGCAATTAGGACGTCGCCATTAGGACGTTGCAAACCTGAAAAGGTTGTATAGGCTAATGCTTTTTTATGTTTAGAATTAGTTTATTTTTGGATATGGTTTCCAATGTTTTATACTGTATGTTGTATACTGTATTCATGATGTCACAAAATTAAATTGCCAGTGCTTGTGATCAGTGACCTTTTGCCCCCTCCCCTCATGTTCTCTCTCAGAAGCACAGAGCAATGCTGGCTGCTCTTACAGTCTGGTCTGGTCCTAGTCAGGCAGCTGCTCTCTTTCACTCTCATCGCGGCTAACTGAAAATAAATTCTATATTTAGGTCTATCAAAACTCTGAGGGAAAACCCAGGGGCAATTGTAAAATGTACAGTAGCTGAATTTGTCACTGAATTTGTCACTTTCATAGAAAAAGTCGCTAGGACGGTCTGACAAATCCCTAGACCTAGTGACAAAGAAGCACTAAATTGGCAACACAATCAACTCTGTTATAATAATAATAATAATATGTTATAATAATTATACAGCATTATATTTGGGTCCTATATATTAGGGAGCTTTCAGTAGCTGATTTGCATAGATAGCTATCTAGGTTTCCCATGTTGCAAGTGGTTGAACTATCGCTGCTAAACTATTCCCTTCAAAATCCCAGCTGATTAAGAAGTTACTAAGTAATGTATCAAAAAATATATATATTATAATAATAAATGTTATTTGCCACATGCGCCGAAACAACAGGTGTAGACATTACAGTGAAATGCTTACTTACAAGCCCATAACCAACAATGCATTTTAATTTTCTTATTTAATTTTAATTTTTAAATAATAAAAGCAAACAGCTAAAGAGCAGCAGTAAAATAACAGTAGGGAGGCTATATACAGGGGGGTACCGGTGCAGAGACAATGAGCGGGGGCACCAGCTAGTCGAGGTAATTGAGGTAATATGTACATGTGGGTAGAGTTAAAGTGACTATGCATAAATAATAAACAGAGTAGCAGAAGCGTAAAAGAGGGGGATGGGATGGGGGTGGGGGGGCAGTGCAAATAGTCTGGGTAGCCATGATTAGCTGTTCAGGAGTCTTATGGCTTGGGGGTAGAAGCTGTTGAGAAGCCTTTTGGACCTAGACTTGGCGCTCTGGTACCGCTTGACGTGTGGTAGCAGAGAGAACAGTATATGACTAGGGTGGCTGGAGTCTTTGACAATTTTGAGGGCCTTCCTCTGACCGCCTGGTATAGAGGTCCTGGATGGCAGGAAGCTTGGCCCCAGTG